CAAAACATTATAAAACATACACACTAAATATATTGTGTTGAAATTTATAATTAATAAAAATACCCCAAGACATTCAAGAAGTTGGTAATATGTATTGTAAAACTTAAATTAGACGTTTAGTATTCCTAGAATAATATTAATGGTTTTAATTACGGGTGGTATAACCAATGGGTTGTAAACCTATTTAATAGGTATTATGATTTACGTTTGACATTTGAAGAGATAAATATTTTGACCATAAATAATTGTAACAACTCATTTGAAATTGCATCAGGAGAAAAATTGAGAGCGTTGTTTTGTTTTCCTGTTACCAACAAATTGGCATCAGAGCTTGTGTGTGAGGTGAGTGTGAGAGAGCCCACCAAACCTCAAGAGAGAACGCCGCAGTATATGCTGGCTGAGAAAGAGAGAGGAGCGACTCAGAACTTTGTGAGGTGTGTGAGTTGAGTACAAACACTTGAGAGGAAATGACATGTCTAACCAATGGCATCCCGCTACCCAAGTTGACAAAAGGCACCAACTATGACAACTGGAAGGTACAAATGAAGGCTCTTCTCGGCTACCAAGATAACTGGGATGTGGTCGAGAATGGGTATGAGGAACCGGCGAACACAGATGGGTATTCAAATGCCCAGCTGAACGCATTGAAGGCTGTTCGAGCTAAAGACAAGGCGACTCTGTATCTATTAACTCCAGCCGTCGACAAATCTGGCTTTGAGAAGATAGCTAACGCAAAATCTTCCAAAGTAGCATGTGATACACTTGAAAAAGCAAACAAAGGAGATGAAAGGATGAAAAAAGTTTGACTTCAAACCCTTAGGGGCGAGCTTGAAAACATGAGGATGAAAGAGCCTGAAAGCATTTCCGAGTTCATTACTCGGGTGGAGACTGTGGTGAACAAACTGAATCAGAATGGTGAGTCTTTCATCAAACCGAGTTGTTGAAAAAATTTTGAGATCATTGACAGATGATTTCGAGAACATCGTGTGCGCAATAGAGAAGTCCAAGGATCTATCAACGCTCACCCTTGAAGAGCTTGCTGGGTCCCTAGAAGCGCATGAGCAGAGAAGGAAAAACAAGAAGGGGGAGTCCCTTGAACAAACTATCCAGGCAAAAGAAACAATAAAAGAGGAGAAAGTGCTCTATGCTCAGAGTACCAGAGGCCGAGGAAAAGGCAGAGGTTGTGGTAGTAGAGGAAAAGAAGGACGAGGAAATGAGCAAGACGGTCAATAGAACTGACGTGGCCAAGGACAGGCTCGGGATGACCGGACAAACACAAACAATATTAAATGCTATAATTGTGGGAAGAATGAGTATATTGCCAAGGATTGTTACTCGGTAAAATGCAATAATTGTGGAAAGAATGAGCATCTTGCCAAGGACTGTTACTCCGTAAAATGCAATAATTGTGAAAAACTGGGTCATATTTCCAAAGATTGTAGGTTTGAAAAGAAAAAGGAGGAACCAACAAACTTTCTTGCTGAGGAAGAAGATGAAGGATTGTTGATGGTGACAAACACTTCAAAAACTGAGATCAAACCGAACTGTTCTAATAACTCGGTTTGGTACTTGGACATCGGCGTTAGTAACCACATGTGTGGTGATGAGCGCTTATTCAAAATACTTTCAAAGGTGGAGTCCAGGTCTGTTTCTTTTGGTGATGCTTCGAAAGTAGCTGTCAAAGATCAAGGAACGATATGATATCAACAGAGAAATGGGCAAATCGGAGAGATCAGAGATGTATACTACGTACCTGATCTCAAAAGCAACATATTGAGCATGAGACAGTTAATGGAGAATGGGTACTCGGTTCTGATGAAGGACCGAGAACTACAACAGAAGGATAAATTAGGGAGACTTGTTGCTTTGGTGGGAATGAAGAAAAATCGCATGTACAAACTTGAGCTGAAAACAGTTCAAGATAAATGTATGCAATTTGATATGGAGGATGAGGCCATGAAGTGATATTTGCGTTTTGGTCATCTTCACTTTGGTGGGTTGACTGCACTAGTGAAAAAGGAGATGGTGCTCGGATTGCCTAAAATGGAATTCGAAAAAAAGGTTCTGTGAAGAATGTGTGATTGGGAAGCAAGCGAGGACTTCTTTCCCAAGAAGTTATGAGTGTCGAGCAAAGCAGCAACTCGGAGTGATCCATACTGATTTGTGTGGGCCAATAACTCTTGAATCTTTCAGTGGTAAGAGATACTTCGTCTCTTTCATTGATGATTTTTCAAGGAAAACATGAGTTTATTTTTTGAAGGAGAAGTCAGAAGTGTTTGAAACTTTCAAGAAATTCAAAGTTATGGTGGAGAAAGAAACAAGCAAAGTCATCAAAGCAATCTGATTTGACAGAGGAGACGAGTTCACTTCTACTGAGTTCAACAAATACTATGAGGAACATGGAATCAAACGTTTCCTGACTGTCCCATATTCTCCGCAGCAAAACGGTGTAGCGGAACGTAAGAACCGAACCATTCTTGATATGGTTCGATCTATGTTGAAAGGGAAGAATATGCCAAAGAAGTTTTGGGCAGTGGCGGTGCAGTGCGCAGTCTATTTGCAAAATAGATGTCCACATGCAAGGCTAGGAGAGAAGACGCCTCAGGAGATATGGAGTGGTATGAAGCCAAGTGTCTCTCATATGAAGGTGGTTGGTAGCGTGGCCTATGGGCAAGTACCAAGTCAGCACATGACTAAATTAGAAGATCGGAGTAAGAAGTACATATTTATCGGGTATGATGAAAAATCTAAAGCGTATAAATTGTTTGATCCTGTTAATAATAAAGGGGTGGTAAGCCGAGATGTTCATGTGGAAGAAACAAAACATTGGTGCTGGAGTAACCCGGCAGAAGAAGAAACTAGTTCAGAAATTGTTGTGCCTTCAACAATAACAACCATTGAGTCTTCAGATAAAGAAATAGAGCCACAACAGCCCAAGATGAGAAGTCTGCAGGAAATATACGACACTACAAATGAAGTTCATGTTGTATGTCTTTTGGCTGACTCTGAAGACTTGAGTTTTGAGAAAGTTGTCCAAGATGAGAAGTGGAGAACAACCATGGATGAAGAGATTGGAGCGATTGAACGCAACAAAACTTGGGAACTGACTGACCTTCCTAAAGGAGCTCAACCCATTGAAGTAAAATGGGTGTACAAAAAGAAGATGAATGTTGAGGGAGAGGTTGAACGTTACAAGGCTCGACTTGTGGTGAAGGTCTATAAACAAAAGGAGGGAATTGACTATGATGAAGTATTTGCTCTTATCACGAGAATGGAGTCAATCCGACTTCTGATTCTCATTAGCTGCTCAGAATCAATGGCTGAATCTACAGATGGATGTGAAGTCGGCATTTCTGAATGGAGTGCTGAAGGAAGAGGTATATGTTGAGTAACCACTCGGGTACATGAAGAGAGGAGATGAGAAAAAGGTACTGAGATTAAGAAAAGCTCTCTATGGGCTGAAGTAGGCTCCTCGTGCCTGGAATGAAAGAATTGATGGGTATTTCAAGAAAAATGGGTATGAACAATGTCCATATGAGCATGCTTTGTACACAAAGAAATCAGAAAAAGATATGATGGTAGTCGCTCTTCATGTCGACGATCTCATATTCACTGGAAGTAACACGAAACTAATTAAGGAGTTCAAGGAGGTAATAAAGAAAGAGTTCGAAATGACAGATTTAGGGCTGATGAAATATTTTCTTGGCCTAGAAGTGAAGCAGTCAGAGGAAGGAATTTTTATATCCCAAGAGAGGTACGCACTTGAAATTTTAAAGAAATTTAAAATGGAGGACTGTAACCCGGTTTCTACTCCAATGGAACCGAGCACTAAACTCTCAAAGTTTGATGGAGGAGAACGAGCTGATTCTGGGAGATATCGAAGCTTAATCGGAAGTCTGAGATACCTTACAAGCACAAGACCCGACCTAATACTGAGTGTTGGGATAACGAGCAGATACATGGAGAATCCAAGTTACACACATTGGAAGGCCTTAAAGAGAATTCTGAGATATGTTCGAGGAACCTTATCACTTGGTCTAATCTATTCAAAATCGGATGACTACCGACTAGTGGGTTACTCGGATAGTGATTGGTGTGGTGATGTTGATGATCGGAAAAGTACTTCAGGTTATGTGTTCCTACTCGGAAAAACAGCTTTTACTTGGCTGTCAAAGAAGCAACCCATTGTAACTCTGTCAACCTGTGAGGCTGAGTATGTGACAGCCTCTTGGAGTGTGTGTCATGCAGTTTGACTTTCAAATTTACTAAGGCATATGAGAGTAATCCAAGACAAAAGGACTGTAATTCGAGTTGACAACAAGCCAGCGATCGAGTTGGAAAAGAACCCGGTTAATCATGGAAGGAGCAAACACATTGACGTTCAATTTCATTTCATCCGAGAACAAGTCAGAGAAGGAAAGGTTGAGCTAAAGCATGTTGAAAGCCGAGCTCAAGCTGCTGACATATTCACCAAACCACTACCAATTACACTGCTGGAGAGTTGTAAAAGGCTTATTGGAATAAGAAATGGGAAGAGTATTTAAGTTTAAGGGGGAGATTTATTGTAAAACTTAAATTAGACGTTTAGTATTCCTAGAATAATATTAATGGTTTTAATTACGAGTGGTATAACCAATGAGTTGTAAATCTATTTAATAGGTATTATGATTTACGTTTGGTATTTGAAGAGGCAAATATTTTGGCCATAAATAATTGTAACATCTCATTTGAAATTGCATCAGGAGAAAAATTGAGCGCGTTGTTTTGTTTTCTTGTTACCAACAATATGCTCTTCCTTGAAGTGGATTGTGTCCCTTCCTAGGCTCATAGAAGTATCTCGTCCTACAAGGAAAAAATGATTAAAGGGAAGATAAAATGTTTGAAGGCGTTAGTATCACAAACCTTACATGTACAAAACAAATAAACAAATAATTTAAAAATGAAGATTTGGTGTATCAATGAAGGAAACACCAAGAACTCAAGAAATAATCAATATCAAATTAGAGAAACCCACCATTCAGTGTATCCTGGATCAACAGTGAATCCATATATATCAATAATATAGATTTCATTCCAGTTCCTTTGGCACCTCGACGTAGTACAATTCCTTGGAAGAGATAGACTGGATTGGGCATGGTCTGTCATAAAAGGTAGTTCAAAAAAGTATAAGCTGTTCACATCTGCACTGATACCAAAAAGCATCCAATAAAATAATTATCACAGAACAGATTCTCACCTTTATAACTGCATTGATTTCTGTGTCAGACTTTTAATTATGAGAACCTCATAGTCTGCAAAAGGACAAAAGTTTTAATCTTCTCATTACATAGATATCATGAACTAACAGCCAAACAGAAACAAGGAAAAAATTAGGATTAAAATCTCGTAAAATCTACTGAACTTATAGATTTCTACTTCCCAAGATTTGACTTTGATTGGAATGTGATTTGAAGCTTTTGATTGAAGCTTCGAAGGATGCTCCTCTTGTACCATAGCAAATCCGAGGGAAATGGATTAGATGTCTTCAATTTTGTTCTTCTATGCATTTTTTTCGTATCATATTTATAGAGGGTAATATATTTGTTAATAAACTTGCTAACAATGGTTTTGAAGATAAACACGAATTTTATTGGTTTGATGGTATGCCAGAATTTATTTTAGGAAAGTTTTTCCAGGGACATGTGTTTGTTTGTAATTATTTTTTTATAGTATTTATATTTTTATGTGTTGCAAATGATAGATGGACATTAAGGTGCCAACCTAGTTGAGATGTCTTTGTTCCACAGTCATGCTTTGCATGTCAAATCTTTAATAAAAAGCATTGAAGCTATATTTCATAGTGTATCCACTAGTGAATTGCATAGATTGTGAATAGATTTCCAATTCAACTAATATAGCCCAAACGTTCAATAGAAGTTTCATAGTTTTGTTTAAATATTTTCAAAAATCAAAACTTACCAGACCCGTTTAGAATAGGGACCGTGTTACGAGCAGCACCTCTTACAACTAGACGGAAATCCCTCTTAAGACCAACATATTTGGCAAATTTCTACACAGCCCATAAACAGACAAATAAGTATCAACAATTTTTTAGTAGCATATTAGATAAATGCAGTAGCAGGTGCTTAATTTCATCTATGTTTGGATAAACTAACAGCATATCAAGACAATGGAAGTTGAAAGAAGAAATTGTTAAAACTTTGCCCCATGTATGAGTTAACAGGTTTACCTCATTAACAGGTGCCTCATTGTCTCGAAAACAACATCATGGATATCAATTTCTTTCCCGAAATGAGTCTTCAGAAGATCCCCAGAATTACCAACAACAGCAAAAGTTCGAAACTGCCGTGGGTGAAATGGGGGCTTTGCAGGTAATAACACATTGAGGTTCTCTTCACAAAGAGTCTTGTTAGTGCACTTCTTTGTTCCCCAACACGAAGAAAAGGCATCACCACACACACTAATCAATAACACATGCAACCCAACAACATCAGCATCAACACAGTGCTATCCTTTGTGGAGCGTAATCCACCCAACCACCAGGTCGAGAATCAAGATACTCTCTGGTCAACACAGTTGTCATGTTCCGATACTGCAACATCTCAACACTAGTAAATACTCATTCTGAAAGTTCATCTTAAGCAGGAACAAAGGGTGTGTGTCATGACAATGCACCTGTTCCCACAACAGGAGTGTCTCACACACAACATAACTGTACTCCAACGGCTCAAATTTCTTAAACTGTGCATTGTACTGCAATAATTTAAACATGAAAAAAAAAAAAAAAACTCAGCAATTTTGCAATCAAGGAAACATTAGCCCCCTGTTATGCTGTTTCAATTTCCAACCTCAGCACACATCTTTACGCAACTAAATTCTATTATTTTTTAAAATAATAATAAAAAAAAGTACAAGACTTAGATTCAGTTCCTGTGTTTTTGATGTTCTTCTATCTGAATTGGAAGTTAGTTAACTGGAGTTACACCTCAATAATATTGATAAAAGATAAGATAAACAAGTAACCATATCAGCATTAATCATCAATGAGGAATGTTAAGGAAACGAAATTAAAATGTCTAATATTATTAAGTGTAGTGTGGTTACGGTGAAAAACACCTGCGAAGAAAGAGGACTGGATGTAGAAGAAGAGAAGGGAGAACAATGCGGCGGCGCCCACTAGATACAGGACGGTGGGTCGCCGGTTAAGGGATGAAACCTGGTTGTGCTGCCTCATTGGTGTTTCGGTCACATGCAGAGAGAAAGAGACAGAATAATGCAATCTACAAACGGAATGAATATGTGGGAGGGAAGAAGAACATCTTCTTCAGCTCTCCCAAACGACGACGTTACTCGCTCAGGCAAAAGTTACCGACTTTGTTCGCTTGAGATGGAAGGTATTGGAAACCATAGCAACGAAAAATTTTAGAAAGAGCAAGAATATTTAGGGGAAAAGATAAGTTGAAGAAGAAAAAAAACAAGCTTTTTAGTGTTCCTATTATTCGCAGTGTGTAGTGTAAACTTAACAACTATTTATAAATAGGGTTTAAAGTGATGAAATCATCAGATTTGTAATTCTAAATAGTTCTATTTTTTAACTTAACACTGTTTGGAACAATAGAAATCTTCGTTAACTGTTCTCAACATTATTTTTTGTCCATAATAAACTCTAATGATTGTGTCTTCTCTAAAATTTAAGCATATATGTAAGATTGGTATATATTAGCCGTCCATTTAAAATAGGTTATGATTAGGACATGACTTAATTTAAATTAATAATAGTTATATATTTTTATTACTGTATGCAAATTATATTTCTCTGCTTTTATTTTAAAATACATACTCACCTCTTCAGAAATTAATATAATTTCCATTTTATATTTTTTAATATAAATGAACATTAAAAAATAGAAAATTTTAAATTCAGAAATTTTACACTGTGCAGAAAATTAATCACTATTCTTGAGCCGAAGTTGTTTAACAATAAGTCAAACCTACCACCAATAGAAAATGGAAAGATTAAGCCAAGTTTAATTAATAATCCCAATATCACGAGAAGAAGACAAGTGTACAACACTTCACTCCGATACACGACACCACGATGAAGCCTCGCAGATGATCATGATGGGACTGGTGCGTGAAATTTTCTCTTTACAATTATCGATCCTCACCACTGAAACTACATTCCCAATGGGACCCTTTCACGTCACCAATTTGTGATCATCCTGAACTACCATCCAAATAAGCATCATTGCATGCCTTTTTTATTTTCTTTCCCGTTTTGAGTTCCTGCAGAAAGTTTCACCTTTTTCATTACACTCTCACTCTTTTCTTCACTTTGCTCCAACCCTTTTGCACACCCTAGTTGATCTCCCGTTTTCCCCGTCTGAGTCTCCCAAGTTTTCGCTTCAACACTTGTGCCTCTCGATTCACTGGCGATGGCATCGATGGGTACTACACCCTTTCTCGTGGAAGCCAATGCCGCCTCCACTTTCATGACGACGATGTTTCAGAACAGGAATCTCAATCTATCTTCGCCTAAGTTTGGCTCTGTGAGTGGTTCATCGTTTGAGCATTCGGTGGCAAGAGGGTGGGGGCGTGGAAGAGTGAACCATAGATGTAGTAGGGGTTTGTTGTGTTTGGTGGAGAATAATAAGCGTATAAGAGCTTTGGGGAAGGGTTCTGGGACGAGTGACGATAAGGATGAAGTGCTTCAGGCCACAATTGCGAAGAGTAAGAGGGTTCTTGCTTTGCAAAGGGAGTTGCTTGAACAGGTATCATTGTTGTGAAATGAATGTGTTTTGCAAAGGGTCCAGAATTTTATCTTTATGCTATTCGCAAAAGAGGTTTACGTTGAGGAGACCCTCGTAAGGTTTTTTTTTTTTTTTTCAGTTCATACTTTTTTTGGATCACGTGTATGCATGATAGGAGTTTTGATCGTAATTTTTGGTTTTTCATATCATTGGATTGATTTGTTGAGATTGGGAAATTAGGACTTTATTGGAAAAATAAAGGAGATAATTTTATTTTTCTCCTGGAAAGGTGAGTGTAAGTAGAGTAAACCAATGGCTAATAAGCATGCTTTGTTAAAGCTCATTGTTGACGAAGTAATTGATCAAGCTGTAGCATTGACAACTTTGGGCGGATTCACTCATTGTGGGTCTTCCGCTTCTTTGATCTATTTTTGAGATTTTGAATTTGGTCTATGAGATCTTTGTGCTAATATGTGCCAATTGGAGTTACTGTTTAACCATGTCTGGTTGCGAGGTTCTCATAAAGTGTAAGGATGTCATTTTTTTTTTTAAAGTAAACAATTATACGCCACTGCTTAAATTAGAATTTTCTTTATGTTCTTGTGTTTTTTTTGTAATGCTCTGTACCCTTAGATGCAGGATCATGTTACTACTGACTATTGAATACAAGATATTCACTTCTGAAAGTTAGTGGAAATTCAATTGGATGGCGAATGAAAGAGAGGATCCAAATGAGACTGTTATTTGAATTTATTAAGCTGGTTATGTATATATACTTTTTGTCCTAAGGTTGAACATGTTTCTAGTTATACATGCTTCTATGTCTCGTGTATTGGATTTTCATATTTTCTTTTTAAGGGTAGGATACTTTACTGATACATATGTATCATAGTATCCAAGAGTATCAATATCGGATTCTTATCAGAGATGTAAATCAAATTAAAGTATCAGCGCTTCAGAGATTTTGACAATGTTAAGAGCACTTTTTAAAACTCTTCACGTACAAATGATTGGCCTGAATTTAGATATAATAATTTATACGAACATCATAGTTAGTTAGGAACTTATGGGTGAGTTAATGGGATTTGAAGTTCTAAAGTTTCTTCATTATGATGTGGAGTTGTTTGTACAAGTTATAATTTTTGTGTGAACATAGGTTGTTTGCTTTCTTCTTATATGCCTTATTAACCCTGCATATTATTATAAGCGTACATGTGGTTATATTATTTAGCTTTTTTGTTTATTGTAGATTACTGAAAGAAAGAAACTGATTTATTCAATAAATAGTGAAAGCACCCCTGAAACAGAAGGAAACAGTATTTCAGACAAGAACAGCTACGAATCCCTGTTAAATACTGTTGAGAACCAAAATGGTGGCACTGTTTCAAGCAATTACGTCCAATCTAATGAGAAGAAAATACCAGATGTCTCGTTTTTAGGCATTGATCATGGTTTTGACAAGGCTGAAGAGGAAGATGATAAATTGTCTCTTGCTGAAAAGGCTTCACCACCTACACAGTATTTCGATGGTCAGTTGAATAGCAATGGATATGAGACAATTGTGCCTGATACCCTACCAATCGAAATCCCAAGTGGCACCAAAACCTCCAGTCTAATGATTGAAATACTGGAAGGTATGGGTGAATCAAGTTTAGTGGAGGTTTCCAATGAAGCTGACAATGTTGACAGTGAAGGTGAAAAACCCCCACCGTTGGCTGGGGAGAATGTGATGAATGTTATATTGGCTGCAGTAGAATGTGCTCCCTGGTCAAAAGCAGGTAACTACTTTATTTCTATATAAGTTTTTCTTTTATGAGTGTATCCGATTGAGCTCTCTTGTGAATTTTGACTAGCTATATCCGCACTATTCAAAGAAATCTGACTAGTGGCTTTTTTTTTGGCTACCTGTTCACCAACCTGTCGATGTTTAAATGAAAGAAAGAAAAATGAAAGATTTTTTTTTTTTTGGGGGGGGGGGGCAATATTTTCTTTCAAATTGATATATTTATCATTGCAAGCCTTGTTCTTGAATTATGACACTAACAAGATAGCACCCTAACGAGGCATATGCCCTATTGATGAGCATTATTCTGATGCAACTTACATGAAGCTACCAATTCTTAAATCTCAGGATGTCATTCAGTGAATCTGCTGTTTTGTCTTACTGTAATTTACCAAGTTATACCTGAATTAATAGGTGGGCTTGGAGATGTCGCCGGATCATTACCTAAGGCTTTAGCTAGGCGTGGACACAGGGTTATGGTAACTTGCGATTCCCTTAATGACCTGACACAGCATTATTTTTTTCACATATTTGGGAAGAAACTTACTCGTTTGATATACTCCTTGTTTAACAAATGTTGTGTCAAATTGTCTTTCGAGGTAGAAAATTTACACTAAGAAGTAGAATCTCTATTAATAAGAAAAGAATGAAAGTACAAATAAGAAATCACTACAAATTTTTTATCTCTTACAAGAGTGTTTTCGAAAGGATTTGTGTCCTTATGTTTTTTCTGAATTAATTGTTACAATATCTCTGCACTTTTTATACTAGAATACAAGCTACACAAGTATCCATCATGACCTATTCTATAAATACTTCCAAACGATCCTATTCTACAATTACAACCAAATAAACCTTTGTAAACAACATAAGGCTTGGAAACACGGACAATGGAAATTTTATTACAAATAAAGAAATTTATTCTCTACTATAACTAAAAGTAATCTTGAAAAAGATCCTCCCCATCAATGCATCCATCAGTTAAATTGATTTCTGTGAAGGAGTTTCAAAGAACTTGCAAGGTGATTCCGATGAAGAATCTTGTTACGCAACATAGGGTGTATGACTCTAGATACTTGATGTTCATTCTTAGAGTCAGTCATAGAACTTGACAGGTTACAAATCCAAATATTATGAAGATTAGTTATGCTCCACTTTGAGATGTCTAAGAAGGCTAGGAAGGTTGATAAAAGGGATGTGGCCAAGAAACAAAATGGAGTGTTGTAAGTCCTTATATTGGTGGTGCTATAATGCTGAAAGTTGAGCAAGTATGTGAAAGGTTAGAATTGAGACAACGAATTTAGTGATTGAGACATGATACAAAGATTTTGAGAAGTTTTATGCAACCAGAAAAAATATCTAAGAAACAAAGAATAGAGAGATCGATCATTTACAAAGGCATCAGAATTTACAAAAGTACCTTAGGGATATTGTTTTGTTTTCTATTCAAACTGATCCTATGTCCAATGACTGAAGGAGAGACTACAACCTACTAGCTATTTACTTTTATAATCTGCTAATTATGCCTAACCAAACACTCCATAACTTAGTAAAGCTCATAATCTATGCTGATTCCTCATGAGTTATTGATTTTTTTTTTTTTTTTGGTTAAATTTGGTTGTTTCTCTTCCAAGTATTGTTTTTGTCTTTTTTTTTTTTTTTTTTTTTTTTTTTTTTTTCAAACTTCCCACAGAAATTTCATATATGGATTTGGGAGACTCTGTAGGCCTATATTTCATAGCTTTGGGATGTATCTTCACTTCCCTTCAATAAATTTATCAGTGTATCCCATATGTACACTAAGTGTGAATTGAAATGACAGCTTGTATCAAGTGTCATCAGATTATTATTGGATACTTCCATGAATTTCAATTTCCCTTTTTATTTATATTCCCATTGCCTTTTTTCTTTCTTTTCATTTTCTTTGTAGGTTGTAGCACCTCGATATAGTAATTATCCTGAAGCACAAGAGATTGGAGTACGCAAGCAATACAAAGTGGACGGTCAGGTTTGGAGCGGCAACTCTATTCTTGATCAATTATAATTCATTGCTGCTACCTTTGTTTTGTAACACAATGTTGTTTTTGCTTTACAGGACATGGAAGTAACATATTTCCATGCTTTTATTGATGGTGTTGACTTTGTTTTTCTTGACAGTCCAAACTTTCGCCATTTACAGGATAACATATATGGTGGAAACCGAATGGTAATAATGTATTTTTATTAAGTTGTAGACTGCCATTAAGTACTTCCATTGTCTTAATCTGTAATATTGCTCCTTTTAAAGGGGTAAACTAGACCGGGGGGGAGGGGCGCAAATCCATCTTATTCTGTTATTTCTTTGATTCACCTAAATGATTATGACCTAAGAGATGATGAATCACTAAAATGCTGTGCTGTTCTGTTCTGATTTAAGGTATTCTAGTAACTCATCTTGCGTTAAGACTGCCCAGTTACCTGTAACTGTTTCTGTGCTCATGATAATTTCTTTTTGACTCAGTTCATGTCCTTTAATGGAACAGGATATTCTGAAACGCATGGTGTTGTTTTGCAAGGCAGCTGCTGAGGTACATGAACTAAATGATTTAGTGACTACATTTATGGGGATACTCAGTTATGACAGTTATCTACCCAAAAATCTTTTTATCATAATACATATGCTACTTTTCATAAAATTAACCAAATGTATCCTTATCCTTTATTTTTCATGTAAATAGTCTGTTTCAAGCAACTTGAAATACATCAATCTGCATTACATTGGGTGAAAAATGTTAAAATAGGAAATGACTAGAGGTAGATTTGCAATGTGACTAGCATAAATTATGCTATTGTGATGAAACAAAGATACTTGCCATACTAAGCTTTCAATGATGACACATGTACTTCTGAATCTCTCTTTGTTAAAATAGTTGTACATTATTTGTTGTACAGTTTTGTCAAAGCTGCTTTTTGGCTGAATCTAGCTTAAGGGTCAAGGATCATAGTGTATTCCTTTTCCTTTGATTGTACTTTTTCTCACCTTTTTCATTTATATAGAATAGATCAGCTGAAGTAATACTCGATGATTTTTGCCATCCTTTATTCAAGTCACCTATTTATCTCTTGCAATCCTTTTTATGTATGCTTCGATTCATCATTGGTTAATAGACATAGGAAAATGTATATATACCTTAAGAATTACTTAACCTGGGGTCCCCACAAAAATTCCGTGAAGTTTTTTCCACATCATAATGCCTATAAAGTAGGATGCGTTTTGTGTAACTTATTTGATAGGATTATTCTCAAATACTAGAGTAGTTTATCCAAATCATTTTTATCAACAGTAAAAAAAGTCCTTCTGTAGATATATTCTTTATGAAATCCTTATATTTGTCAACTTTCAATGGATAAATGACGTTAATGATTTTCAGGTTCCATGGCATGTTCCATGTGGTGGTGTTTGCTATGGAGATGGAAATTTGGCCTTCATAGCAAATGATTGGCATACTGCATTGCTGCCTGTGTATCTGAAAGCATATTATCGTGACAATGGTTTAATGATATACACAAGATCTGTTCTTGTGATTCATAACATAGCACACCAGGTTCATTCTCTATCTATCTCTGTAGTTAATTCATTTTGTGCAGCGAAGAAAGAAGATATATAGAGATGGGACAGATCTATTGAGGGCGTGAGTGGAGTTAATATTGGCCATACAACCATAAATGGATTGTGAAGATTATTTTACCTAAATTTAATCTTTACCATCCATTTGAATTAAGTGGTTGAGACTTACTCTTCTCATCTCATGTTTTCATGAACCACATACCCAGATAAAACGGCTCTTATTATTTAACTTCACCAAGGGCTACACATGATTTTCCTTCTGTGGAATATATTGGGGAAAGTAGTGGGATAAGTAAGAAGAGGCAAACAGTTATTGTCACTGATATATCATCATAGCAATGATTGTCATTCCTCAATTGCCTATTACCGCAAGGTTAAATAGAAGGGACTTTTAATGAAAAAAAGGGCTTTGGATTACTACCTTTATATGTGTGTCTGTCACTGTTCTGGATGCTTCATCTATTGTTAGGAGTCCCACATTCAATAGAATGAACTACTTGATGTGATACTTAAGCCTTGAGGTTTTCCCACCTAATGATTTAGTCTTTTGAGTTGAGCTCTCTATTTGTGCTTAAATCCTAATATCTATTGTCATACATTTGCACTCCAACTTCAAGATGTTTAAATATTATGTACATGTGAATATACCTATAGTAAAGATCCAACCATTGCAATAAGCATGTATACTGTCTTGATTAATTTCAATGCACAGCTTTAAATACCCTGGTCTAAATACTTCAAAATGTGTCATTCTTTTTTTGAGAAAAGCAAGAGAAATTTAGTGAGGAATCAAGAAAAATTTTCCTCACCTGAAGCATTTATGTTTGCTTTGCTTATGGATGTGGGTTGTTGCATCTTAAAGTAATTATTTTATCTTTGAACAAGAAGACCTACAATGAAGGAAAATCATTAAAGCTGATTTCATTTTCGTAATGTTGGAGTTTATAATTCATTTTTTCTTCTATAGAGAAGGAATAATCACATACTTATTCTATATACAGGGTCGGGGTCCACTTGATGAATTCCGCTACACAGATTTACCTGAACACTACATAGACCTTTTCAAATTATATGACCCTGTTGGAGGTGAGCACTTAAATATCTTTGCAGCTGGTTTAAAGGCAGCAGACCGGATAGTCACCGTCAGTCATGGATATGCATGGGAGATCAAAACTTCTGAAGGTGGCTGGGGTTTGCATGGGATCATAAATGAGAATGACTGGAAACTGAGGGGAATTGTCAATGGAATTGACACCAAAGATTGGAATCCCAAGTTTGATGTTCACTTGACATCAGATGGATACACTAACTACACCATTGAGACCCTGCAAAGTGGGAAGCGTCAGTGCAAAGCCGCCTTGCAGAAGGAGCTCGGTTTGCCTGTTCGTGAGGATGTTCCATTAATCGGATTCATTGGAAGGTTGGATCATCAGAAAGGCATTGATCTCATAGCTGAAGCAATTCCATGGATGATGGGCCAGGATGTGCAACTTGTCATGCTGGGAACCGGAAGGCCTGATTTAGAAGAGATGCTTAAGCAAATTATGTCCCAATACTCTGACAAAATCAAAGGATGGGTTGGCTTTTCTGTAAAGATGGCTCACCGGATAACAGCAGGTGCAGACATATTGCTGATGCCATCAAGATTTGAGCCATGTGGATTGAATCAACTCTATGCCATGAATTATGGAACAGTTCCGGTTGTACATGCTGTCGGTGGACTGAGGGATACCGTGCCACCTTTTAATCCGTTTGAAGAGTCTGGCCTTGGATGGACATTTGACAGTGCAGAAACTAATAAGCTAATAAACTCATTAGCGAACTGCTTGTTGACCTATAGGCAGTTTAAGCAGAGCTGGGAAGGGCTTCAAAGGCGCGGGATGACACAGGATCTCAGTTGGGACAATGCTGCTCAGCAGTATGAGGAGGTCCTTGTTGCTGCCAAGTTCCAATGGTAAATTCTTGCTTCTACTCTACCAAGCAGACTCATCAGTATGAAGTGCATTCATGCTGAGTTATATCATGGTCTGTGCAAAGGAAATGACCTGGTCATTGTGGTCAAGTTGTCACAACTTTCTTGATGCAGGTCCTGGAGGACAATTTTACCCAAAAAATAAGGATTATGTAATAATCACTTGTTATATATGTCATCTCTGGCACATACCAATGTAGCTAAAAAGTCAATCCACCAAAATATGATATAAGGTTAGAATCTTTTTATTGTCCTTTTTGGCTAAAGAAAGAAAGAAAAACGAAAGAGTATTAGCCCTTGAAGAAATTCCATCACTGTTTCCATCTTCAAAGGTTTTTTATACCCCTTCAATGCTGTGTCTACCACTATGTGTACTCTCGTACTGCTATTTTATTATTATATTAACTTAATGTAAGAAGCAAATTATTCTAGTAATAGTTTTGGAATTAAAGTAGTGTCTTTATCATGTCTTCCGTTTTGTTCTAATGCATAGAGAGACATTTGTTGTCTTAATAAAGATCGATTCACAATGATTTTATCTCAACAGTCCTAGCAAACTATATCAGGCATTCTTTACCTTTGTAGTTTAGGAACTGAGACAATAAATGGTTTTAATTCTATATTCTAGTAGTTGCCAATAAGTTGTTTAGGAGAAAAAATATACCTACAAAATACATTGATCTAAGTAATTATAGAATCACTGTTGAAGAATATAGACACTTGAGAGAGAGAAAAAAAATGATTGAACGAAGTACCACATAAATAAAAGCTGAGATGTCAATGTATGTCAATCAAATAGCTGAAAAATCAGTACCACAATTTATACATAAACTTTTACACATTATAAATTTATTTGTTGAACGTTGTATACTAAGAAGGAACATCTAATACTTTTATAGGGTCCATTTAACTGTAGAGGATTAAGATAATTTGTACAAAATTTTAAATGCAGATTAGTCCCAGATTCAAATGTTGTTGCTAACCCTATATTTTTGTAAAATACCTAACGATATTAATTAGGTTACGGTGGGAAGTTTTCATATTTCCACCTAAACGGAAACAAACAATCAAGTAACACTCAACTCTAGTAAGTGGCAAGATTTGAAGCTCTTGTCTCTACTTCAATATCGAATTAAATCTTTTAGTTCTTATTATTTTGCAGAGGAAAGAATAATTTATTCTCATAGTCCTATTCCTTTGCACAGTGCAATTACTCTTACAATCTTCATAGTTGTCTGAACAACAAGCTTCTCTTACACTCATTTAAACATAGTTGACACAAATTCTATATGCAAATTTCCTAACACCTATATTTTACTGCATTTAACATGTGTATGAGTTATTAACAGTGAGTGCAACAGCTTCATCTACTAGGCCCTTTCAACCTAGTAGTTCAATAAAACTTTCACTACTCATTTTGATTTCATATGATCTCTACTAACTATTCTGATAATCCTAAATAGATAGCTATAATAGGATAATAAGATAGTACTATTGTTTGGTAAAAGTTGTAGAAAATTCAAATATTAATACTATTTTAATTTTAAAATCAAATTAATAACTTCTTACATCTCATAAAGATCATATTTTTATATTTTATGATCAAAATATATTTTTCATATAATAATTAAAATAAATATATTTTTTAATATAATTAAAATATTTATCTATCATTAACTATTCCATTAAATTTTTAATTGCCATGATTAAAAAAGTTATTATTAAATGTAGTGTAGGCTGATGTTTTGACTTTGAGTGTTGCGTGAAAAAAAATATTTATATTATTCATAGAGTTGATGATAAAGAAATAATTATTAAATGTATCATTCCCATATCACGAACCCTATGATAATATGACAATTAAAATTAATGAAACCAAATTATAAAACTCATAATTTTTAAAAAAATTGATAATTAAAAATTTAATGAAGTAGTTAATAATATAAAAATTTCATAAATATTTTAACTATATTAAAAATAAATATTTGTTATAACTGGTATATAAAAGATAAAATTTTAATGCTACTATAACGTATATTGATGTTGCTTATTATAACAGATGTTAAAATAGATTTTGGATTGAAACTGATTCTGTTACGATTGTGTGGAGACTTTTATTAAAAACTGGAAAATCAGAAATAAATTGTACAAGACCATGAATTTATGTACACAGATAAAGATACTCATCTTACTCATTTTTCTAGAAAAGAAAACCAACCTGCGGATAAACTATTTTAATCTTGAGATTGAAAAAAGAGGATTTTTATTCATATTTTACTTTGCCTAATTGTATTAGTCTTGAATTCTTTAGAAATAGGTATTCCCTTCTTAATTATAGATTTTCTTAAAATCATGGGTTTTGATTTTGTCTCCTATAAAATTGTATCTTTTATTTATATATATATATATATATATTTTTTTTAAAATTATATAAAAAATAGATAGTATATTTTAATTATTTTAAAAATAAGTATTTGTCATAATTAATATATGAAAAATAATAATTTATCATATTTTATTTTATTGGAACAATATTTTAAAATTCGAAACATGTACAAAATTCTTTAAAGCTATGGTAAACAGTGACATAGATAGGAATTATTGTTTCTTCTTACAGCATCGCATTTGTTCAAACATTTCTCCTGCATATTTCCTTGACCACACAGTCATTGCATTTGAACGTAGAACATCATTTTTCTTAATCTTCTCTTTCATTTGGTTAAAACACACACACACACACACGCGTCCTCAACCTCCTTGCATTAAAAATAAATAAATAAATGAAAACCCTTAATTGATTACTTATCTTAAACTACATGTTATAATGTGGCAAGTGAATTTGATTGGAAACACTTTGCATCAGTGGTCCAGCCATAAATTGTTGCCGTTGAATTTAGGACACAAAATTTCGGTGTTAGTAGTTGGAACTCTTGAATACGTGAAATATTTTTACAAAGACTAAACATCTTAAACAAAAAATTAAGATAGGTTTTAAATCTCACTAGTTTATATATTACTCATTTTTTTTTATTCAATACAAAATTCAACTCATTCTTAAATTTTTCTCACAATAACTTGAGTGAGGATAAAAAATTGATGCAATAGTTAATTAAACTCATTGAAAATTGATATGGTTAGTCGCAGGCTTACATATATTTCTTGACAAACTTAACCATATTGATGAGTTAAAGAAGAAAGAGGACATCATCCTAATAAATAGTTGCTGACCTTAGCTTAATGCAATCATAATTTTTCAAAATTCAGAAACTTTAACATGTTTCAACCATTTTAAACAAAATACCAAATTCATCCTTTTTAAAGTCTCCCATGTCTAGTGTTTGGAAGCTATTTTAGTCCAAACTAGGGTTTCAAACCTTGTTTTCTTTTTTCATATTACTTTAACTTCAGACAAATCAAACTCTATATACTTTAAGTACTTAGGTTGTTCATAGCTTATTACTTAAAATTCATCAATCAAAATACCAAATTATCTTCAAAATATTGAGACCGATCTAAAATAAATAAAATCACAATTAAACCTACTTTATAATTACTCTAACAATACCATTGTGTCTATCACATGAGGAGAATGTCTCATTTTTCTATTGAAATTATCATTACCAAATCCTTCAATGTTATCTTAGTCTCCGTTTTCTAAATTTTTTTTTCTCACATTAATCAACCACTCAATATATAATTATTTTGTATCTTGTTTTCCTTATATAGCAAGACATTCATTTTAACACTCTCATTTCTATCACTCTAACCTTTTTCATCAAAGAAAAGAAAATTCCAAATAAGGAATTCACAATAGAAATGCAAGTTTTGTTAAATTGAAGGCTTAAGTTTATTACTAACTTTTTTTTGGTCAGAAAAATATTTTAGTGGCTCATCTTTAACATATGTTGTATGAATATGCATCTTGGTGCGTTTGTTTTGTCCCTACTTGTTCTCTCAGTTGTATCTATCTAGTTCTAGGTTAGAATTTTAATTATTTATAGAAATTTTGCTTTGATTTCACCGAAACCATTGTAATGCTAGTGTTCATTTGTGACCATTTATTATACAAATACTATTTGTATCTCTATGGTCAACATCTTATGTGCGTTTAAGAAATAATAAAGGCTTTGATCTATAGCTGTCTCTTGATATTTGGAGTTAGCATAGTGAGTTATTGAAATGTTCATGGTGAAGCTTTCTTGGTACAAAGCAATAAGCACCTGCAGAAATTTTTGGTCCATGTAGCATCATTAGATCCTATAACAGATTTATTCACATATTTTGAAAAATTGAAAATCATTTCCATTCAAAACTTATTGTTGTTATTTCACAGCCAAACAAAATATCAGGAAAACATTATGTTTCCCCCTTAAAACGAATTATCAAATATGATCTCATTATTAAGGTACATGCATTTGATAGGTGTCAATGAAAGAGACTAAAATCTAAAACAAATGCAATCATCATTTATTTTGAACATGGCCTATTTCTATAAGCTCATTTCCCTAACCCTTTAAAAGTTGTTTGGCTGCTATATTAGAAAAGGGCACCTAACAATGTTGTGTAAGGATGTTTTCAGCCATGTTAGTTTATGTTAGTCGTTTAGCTAGCATATTATTCCCTCTTTTTGGGCTTAAAAGGTAGAAGAAAAGGAATGGTCATCCTTAGTTTGTGATATGATTGATATTTCCCCTTAACAGATGGAATGACAGTAGTAGAAGATAAATATTATAAGACAAAAGTTTAAGCCTTCAATTAAACTTTCTAGAACAGAATATTGAAAGAAAGGGTCATTTGGGTTTACTTAAAGAGTCTTTGGTATGCTAAAGCATTCATTCCTTGACCCTAGATTAGAACCTTGGGCAGTTTCTTTCTAAGGAGAAATGAGAGGTCACAACCTTGTGGTAGTGGTAGGGGAACCTTTTAGTTTCCTAAACCATAGATTAGCACTAGGGTGGGAAAGAAGCTCACAAAATAGTTGGTTAGGTGATACCTAATCAATTCAGAATTTCATATCAAGTTTGGCCATTCTTCAAAGAGTGAGTTGAAAATGGTATGTTAAGAGTGTGTTGCTAGCATGTCTCAAGTTTATGCTGATGGACATTAATGAATTTCACCAACAAGATATCTAATAGAAAGAAAACCTGAGAATTCTCCACTTAAAAAGATATCTTGTTAGAGTTTGCTCTGTGGGATTTTTGCCTCATTCACCTAAAATGTGTAACAACCATAAGACTAAGAGGGGAACCATCCCTCAAAAGCTAGCTCAAGAGGTTGGAGAACCTCCCACCTTATAAGGCCTCCCTGGTAAGGAGACCTCCCCAATGTGGGACTTGTTACAATACCACCCCGTTCGAAAGCCAGCGTCCTCGATGGCTGCACTCCACGACACTTCACTCACCGGCACTTCACTCACTAGCACTTTACTCGGCTTTCTTACCGGTCAGAACCCTCCAGTGGTCAGAACCCTCCGGCGGTCAGAACCCTCCGTGGGTAGCCCTTCTCAAGTTGGCTGGCTCTCAATGAAAGCACCATTGTAACAACCATAAGACTAAGAGGGGAACCATCCCTCAAAAGCTAGCTCAAGAGGTTGGAGAACCTCCCACCTTATAAGGCCTCCCTGGTAAGGAGACCTCCCCAATGTGGGACTTGTTACAAAATGTTTTAGTTATTTGCATTGGATAACCAAGAGAAAACTGCAATGGATACAAGATGGCTGCTAGCAATCTGATAATTTCTACTAGTGAGACAATGCGAGTGTTCAAAATTATAATAAAACATAAGTTCAGATACATGAAAGAAAAATGTAGAAATAGAAATCAAAAGTTGGCTCAATGCGCTACAGATGAACACCTTACTGATGTCGCTGTTCAAATCTGGTCATTATTCCATCTGAGAGTTGCATGTTCTCCCTCCAGATACTCATAAACATAGAAAAGGTTCACTTATGCAATAACCCTGATTTATTAAGTTATTGCAAATGAAAAATATCAATGTCATGATACTAAAAGTTTGGTACACCTGCATGCAGGAAATGAATGTGGTCAAACAGCAATCACAGAACTTTATTTACAAACAAATTGTGAAGCTGTGTAGTGCAAAATTAAATTAGAATCAAGCCAACCAAAATAATATATACAAAATTAATCATAGTTCCAGCAGTAACAAAAAATTCTGTCGTAATAGATAGAAATTTAGACCAAGTAGATTTCTTAGGTAGAAACAAAGGAAGCAGGAAGGAAAGGAAAAGTATATGGTTATATTCTCAGGATTCAAAATAGTTTTCTTCTATTTATACAAACAGATAACAAGATGCAACACAGGCTAAGTAGAACACGAGATATACAATACAACAAAATACAAAAGGAGAATAAAAAAGTAAAAAACAATTCTAAAATTTATCATCCAATTGTTTTCTCCATTAGCAAATTCAATTTTCTGACAAAAGAATTCAAATAGAAAACCAAAGCTTTCTTCTACCTGAATAAAAAGATGTCATGTGCTTGAGCTTGAACAATCTATTCCGCAGTTAACATTCCAGGCATCCTCTACTACAAGAGTCTGCTTACAATCACAACACAAGGCAATGAAAATAGGGGAAACCTTTCATCACTGTTCAGCAGTAGAATCAGGTAACAAAAAACAAAACATGAACCCTTTCCAATGATTTTTTCTAGATTGAAACAAACTCAGAAAAAGCTCAGATATTGAGAACACCAAACTTAATCTATCATAATCTGCAGCATATAAAAAGATTGAAAACTTAAATCCTACACTCATCTTCACAGAAAAACAAAACATAACAAAATAACCACAAGAGAGTAAAATTGAAAACCATGATGCAGAATCTTGTCAGAACTATATATAAATCTCGAATACTCAAAAAGTAAATTAAAATAAAATGTTTTTATATTTCCAGGTATAACCAACTAACTGTGTATGACCCATAGTTCCTTACAACTTATTGCCAAGGGGCTTATTTAAAGACATCCTAAATTCCTACTAGATCAATGAGCACAAGGACAAGAAGTACACATTCTCTATTTGATCCAATTATCATCCCTTTCCTTCCTTCCAATAAATCAAACGGGTGTCCTGTCCTCTCCTGTGTCCTACTCGACTCGAACAGGATTGTTGCTGCTGCTGCTACTTCTTGATCTTTCTATGCTTCTTCGGTCCCGGCACCTCTAATCTACCAACAGAACATCCACACCTTGCCCGGAGCACGAGCACAGCCCTTCCATTAGGTGGTGCCATCTTCTTGAGCTCGGCCTCCAGCTCCCTGTGGTGATCACGGGGCAATTCAAAGAGACCCTTCTTCACTCCACCACTACCACCACCACCATCTTTTGCCAAATTCGACGAGGAAGAAGCCGAATTCTTCACGCAATCCTCGGTCTCCAACTGAATGTCAAACTCAGCAGCCTTCCTCAGACCCTTGCAATTGGGATTCCCACACTTCCTAGTGGTGCAAACCACCACACCCCACGTGGCCAATGCAGCACAGACAACACTCAATCCAATCGAAAGATAGATCCAAGGTGCCACTGAAACCTCTTCCTTGACCAAAAACACAACAACCTTCACCCCTTCATAACACTTTGTCACCACAAATTCCACGTAAGGGAAGAACAAAAAGCCACAGGCACAAACAACGGCAATGAACATCACAACATCAACCATGGCCGATCGAGATCGATCACAAGGTGGAATCTGAAGGGAATTCGACGAGGATGAAGAAGTAGGGGTTCTCCGATTCTTCTGAAGATGATTGATTTGCCTCGATTTCGAACCGAAATCCGCAGAACAAATTGAATTCGCCATGGGAGATGATTGATCAACGGACTTACAGAGAGAGATTGAGCTATGGAAATAGACCATTTCAAAAAAGGACACAAAATCTTGAATCGGAAATAACCCAATTGTTTCTCCTTTTCCTTTTTCAGATCAACCCCGCAATTATTCAAGCGAAAACGGATCGACCCACCTCGCCAAAAGTCGAAAAGATTGCAACTTTGGCACGGAGAAGATCGAAAACTGTCGGTGGCCAAATGGGTCAAAATTCCCAAAAATATCACATGTTTGTTTACAAAAATTTCTTAATTTTTTTTTTTTTGCAAGGGAATGAAATTGAATATGTGATGATCCAAAAGAGAGTGTTGAAGATTAAAAAGAAAAAAAAAACTATAAGTTCGGGTTATGGGGTTTAGGCCGGCTTGAAGGTATTGTTTATGCTATTGTATTTGCAGAAAAAGGTGAGAGAAGAAGATGAAGAAGAAGAAGAATGGAGAGGACAATGAAGGAAGAGTCATCATTCACTGCTTTATTATCATCATATGAAATAAGCAATGTGTATTTATTTACTTATTTTATTTGTCAATTTTATTATTACTTGTAAGAAGGGGGTGATAGAGTTAAGTTACATACACGCCAGCCACCATAGATGAAGGAAAGGACACGTTTTGTTTAAGGTGGGCTATGTAATGTAATGTGATGGAATGGGCTTGAATGATGCAACTCTTTTGGAAATCATGTGTGAATGATTTGGTGGGCCATCCCTATGGGCTTTGACCCACCCCTCTTTTGGGAAAATTGCATTTTGCTTGTTTAATTTTTGTATTTCTCACCAAATTGCATCATGAATTATGTACTTATATGGTCAAGTTTTTTTTTTTTTACTTTAATCAAAATATATCAAATATAATTATATATATTTAAATAATTACCTTCTAATTTTATAATAGGCTAATTACTTTGCATCTCAAAATAAAATGGAAGGAGAATTGTTGTGTTTGGTAGAGGTTAGGATATGGCCAAGTGGTTGACTTTTCTCATATTCTATTTTACTAATGGTAACAAAAGTTTTGATTTTGTGGTATATTATGAATGTTAAGTGGTGGCTTTTTTTTAACATAACTTTCCCAGTCAAGCAGGTTACAAATTAATATTTCACATAATAATTTGATGCGAACCGATTTAATTAATAGAAAAGTTTCACTAGTCTAATAGTGATATTCATATATATAAGTGGTGGATGAAGAAGAAGATAAAAAAAAATCAACTTTTCATTATTAACATAAACTTTTAGGCCAACGAATCAATCCCAACACTTAGTAATATCAGTTTAAAGTTAATCTAGGTCGTTTTTAAGCCATGAAACATATATCTTCATGATTATGGTATCAATGAGATTCACCAAAGAATCAAACTAAAAGAGTGGTGAGTAATAAAAAAGAAAGTTAAAGTGAAAAGGGAAGAAGAATAAGATAAAAGATTATTGTAAATGTTAATTATATTAGTTACATAGTTGATCAAAACTCATGCATGGGTTTGCAATGATGTTCTTATAAAAGTGATTTATTCTAATACAAAAGTGATGACAAGAAACACATTAAAAACATTTGAATAAAGTGGAAGTGTTTAACTCCTCCAAGAAAGTGCATTCCATTGCTGAAAAGGTGATGATAATATATATGTGGCATTTATATATGTTGGAAAATTTGTTAGAATGAACATCTTTTGATGAAGGTGGGTGAAGTTGGCAATTGGAATTTATATGAGAAAAAGATAAAAGAGGACATGAATCCTTCTCCACAAAGCTATGGAGAATATTCAACTAATTTCCATATATAGTGTTCCATAACGAGTTATATAAAGTTATATTCTTTCATAATTTTCAATTAGATAATTTAATTTTAATTTCCATCATTGGTTTGGAATTTTCTTTCATACAAATTATGTTTCATAAAGTTTATATTAAGTCAAAATCATTCAAATTTACGTAATATATATTCCAAATATTAAAAATTTAAAATTTTGTTTTTATTTAATTATGGCAACATATAATAAAAATAACTAAATAGAGTTGTAACTGACAGTTAGATTGAAAAAAAATAAAACATATAATAATAAGTATAATTTATATATATAGAAAGAGATGTAATTTTTGTCTTCTATTCATGTTGTTGAGTTAAATAATGATTTATATTTCCTTTTTTTATGTCTTTTTTTTTTAATTATATTTCCATAAAAAATATATTGTAGTATGAAATATATTTATTTTTTTAATTAGGTCCTCTTAGTTAGTTTTGCCAAAAAAAAAAAAAACAAGTACAGGATCCAATTGAAAAATTAGTTTAGAAATCGAATTAAAAATCTCTAATAGCTCAGACTTGCAAATTAATATAACCTTATTTAAAAAATAAAGCATAATATGATCGTTAAATGTAAAACATTCATAATTAAAAAGTTTTGATTATTAAGTTAGTTATTTAACATCTAAATCATCATCATAAGTGTAATTTTTTTTCACTAAATTATGTAAAAAACTAATTTATTACCAAATTAATTCTTTCAGTCCTTAAAGTATAACCATGTTTGTTTATATGAAAAGTTAAAAGAATGGAAAAAATAATAATTAAGAAATTAATATGATAATAAAATCTTTACATAAATGTAAAAAATAACTTCCGAAAAACTAATTTAATAATAATAAAAAATTAGAAAACTAGTAACAAATTTCTTTAAAAATGTTGTTGAAAAGAATTTTACTTAACCATCACTCTTAGTATATATATATATATATATATATATATATATATATATATATATATATATATATATATTTAAATAATAATTAACCTAAATAACCTTAGAGGATTTACTCATTAGATATAGGTGAATTATTTTTAATGGAATTTACACTCTTAATATTTTATAAAATATTTACTTTTATTATATTTTTAATAAAATAATATATACATATCTTATTTTATTTAATAACTAACATGTTGACTTAGACTTGAAAAAATAAACTATGTAGATTGAGAATTATAATGTAAAAAACATTTTACTTTCATACGATTTTTTCTGAAAATACTCTTATAAGATTAAGCATTGTAAATTTTACTAAGGGTCGTCTTAAAAGTATATATGGGTAATTATAAATGAATTAAAATATATTTTCACTAACATTATATGTACATTAAAATAAAATAACTTATTGTTAAACAATTTACTATAATTGAAAATAATTTTCTTAAATACATAATTTATAAATATATATTTTACAAACTTCATTATTTTTTCAAAACATAATTACATTTGAATAATTATTTAGTCAGTGATGAAGTCAAGATTGATTGATTAGCTCATTCTAATCAGAAGAGAAACACTCAAAATATGTTGACATTTAAAAAGCTTTATCCTACTATTATTTTAAGGAGATATTTTCATCATAAGATTTAATATGAAGCATTTAATTTATAGGTTTTGACTTGTTTGTATATCTCCTTTTAATTATTTACAAGTTTGGTGCATTGTGTTACACTTACGTTGCCACTTTTTAGGTTATGCTTGATGTGTCACTATGGCGTAGAAGAAAAAAAAAAGGATGTGATGGTAGTGTTAATTAAGTATTCGTAACCCTATTTATTATTAAGTATCAAGATTCTTGTTTCCCACTTTGGCCATTTACTTTTCATTCCTCAACTACAACAGTTGCTTAATTGTTTATCTATACACCATGATTTTTAGATTATATGTATTTTTCTACTGCAGATAAATCAGTTTGAGGTATTAAGATAATCATATATGACAAAATTAAAATGTTCAATATAACTTCACACACACACACACACACATGTAAAAACAGTAAGAAGCATCATCACATTAGAAAATATAATGACAATATATTCAAATACCGGTGCAACTCCTATAAAATATTTCACAAGATTTTCACAAATGATCACCAAATTTGGCATCAAAATCCTCAATTTATACACAAGGGCTTCCAACCTTTCTGTATTCTAAGTCCAGAAAATGAAAACTGCCAGTAAGCAGTTGACATGAACAAACAACTAAACTACAAGCTTCCCCCACGCAAGGCAAAGTTTGAATGATTCTAAACAACACAACCAACAAAATGAAATAGCTAATCTCATATGATGAACATGATTTGGGGTGGAAGACCTAGCAAAATCAAGACTCTTTGTCCTTTGGTATATTTCGTGGCAGTCTGTTGAAAACATTCTCATCTACTATTCTATAATGTTTTGAAAATTGGCGGTGTAGAACACCACAACATTTATCTACATAACCTCCATATTTGCGGTACAATGCAGGGATGGTAATCATAAGAAGGGTTCCTGTCACCATTAAAGAGGAAGAAATGTAAATAAATAAAAAAAGGTTCATGCATATAATATAGGGTTTTTCTAACATAGAGCCTCGTGTTTTCTAGAATATGTAAGCAAGTTACACATTGATAATATAGTTGGCTAACATACTCCTTCTAAAAAGTGTCCCTGAGGACACGTTTACATTTTAGGAGTATGTTAGCAACCTATACTGGATTGTATGTTAAGATCTACTGTAGTTATAGTTTGTGAATGTACTCCTTTTAAATGTAAGTATACATTAGCAAACTCTGTATAAATTTTCAGGATTTATCATAGCTATAGTTTGCTAACATACTACTTCTAAAAACATAAGTGAGATGTTCAATACAATTAGCTGTCAAAATGGCTCTTCAGTGCACAAAACATAATAGATTAAGATTTCAATTAGAACTGTGAAATGCGTGCAAAAAAAAGTTCAAAAGCACATAACCATGTGTGTCAAACATCCAACGGGGTATATGGAAACAATGCAACAAAGGTTTCAGAAGGATTACAGTACATTGCATAGAGTTGGATACAAATGACCTTCAACACAACCAACCAAGAAGCAAACAAAGAAAAAGCAGTGAAATGAAAGTCACAGGATCAAGTGAAACACCCAAAAATGATATATTACGGAATTTACTATACATCAAGGAAAAGGGTTGGTCTCGGAAAGAGACATCACAAATTGAAAATAGACTTATGAAGCAAGCATACCAATATATGCGAGTGTGAAGAAGGAGAAGATGCTGCCAATGACAGACAATAGCCACAGACAAATAACCACCTGTCAAGTAGACAGTTATCTCAGTGCATTTTCCATCAAGTCATACAAAATACTGACAATTACTATCATCTCATATCTAATTCTAGGTGCAAAAATCACATTGCTATAGGAAAGAAAAAACTAGAGAAAAAAAATGCTTACATAACGGAAATGCAAAAATCACCTTGCTCACATCTAGATAATGTTGAAAAACAAATGATACATTTGAAGGAATTAACAGAGCAAGTTCAAGGAAGGAGTTATTATTGATAGCGAGTTTCATAAGCCATTGCCATATAACGTGTAATCCTTCAAGACAATACCATACAAAACCTAGAATTCTTTACAAAAAAAATATATCTTTAGAAAAATAATTATAATTATTTAGATCACACTTCCCTAAGCGACAATCCTAAAAGGTTGTAACATGAAACATACTAACCTTGAAAAAAATTCTAAAATCCTTGCCAATAGTGATGTCATGAGCTATAAGAAGCACATTGTTGATTTTGACCCGAAATGAAGTTGCTACATTATTAACCATCTCCTCTGACACAACTAGTTCAGGTAATGTTGGTGGTTGTCTGCGTCAGAAGAAAAAGATACAAATGACATAGTTCTAATGTTGAAAACATAAAAAAACATGAAATACAAGGGATAGCAGTCATACTTATTTCTAAGGGCAGCATAGTTAGCATACAGAAATAACAGTACGATCAAAATCAGTAAGACATCTGAACAAATTGTTAAAAATGGTAAATTGGTCCATTCAAATACGATCCAGGCAACTGTAGCAACAACAATGACACCCAGGGAAACATGCCACCTCTTCCACAATAGAACATCAGCAACTACAAAACAGACAAGGAAAGCAAACATCAGAAACAGTAGAACCATATTGAGCCCATAACAAAAAACTGCCGTAGTAAAAAATTATGCCCGTCAACAATCTATCTATGTTTCAAACCAACTCTCAATCCCAAATCTGAACAATATTACACCAGGTTGACTAACACAAGAAGAATATGCAGACAGAAAAAAAGAAAGGAACAACAAACTTGGATCACCATAAGTTTATGATGGAGCAAAGTACCCATGTATAAAAAGGCTACTGAAGATTCAATCAAGGTTTAAAATGAAACGGTTTGAGGCTGCTGTTTTGACTACAATAATTTAGAGTCTCCACGATTGCAACTTAAAATCTTCGATTCAATAGCCATTATTAATAAGCGGACAGTTCAGACATATATATATATATATATATATATATATATATATATATATATATATGTATGTATGTATGTGTGTGTGTGTGTGTGTGTGTGAACAAACATATCATAAACCAGACAATCTGTGAACTAATAACGAACCAGAAAATTCCAACAACATACCAAAAGCAGTAGGAAGCTGAGCTTCTGATTCAGACATTAAACTGAAATCTCCAGAACTGAAGTCCTACCAAGCAGATATCCAGACCTGGAGATAATCAACATAAAAGCCAGATATATGATTTGAAAGCATCAAATCGTTCTTCAGAATTCAGTCATCTCAGCCAAATCATAATCCAACAAGTCAGCAGAATCAAACAATACCCATGCACTTGAAAAAAAAAAAAAAAAACAAGCAATGAGTTTGAATCAGTGGATAGTGCAAACACAGATAAAAAAACATTGAAGACTTAAATTACCAAGATCATAGTCACAACTGTCCCCGAAACTAATACAGTAACTAAACACAATAATTATCCAATTTAGAAAATATATGACCAAAGGAAAACCTAAATAAAAAATTACATTTCCAATCAGCAAAAATCACTCTAATAGTAACAACAAATTTTAAATATTAAAAATTAAAACGGTCACACAGTTATTACCACTAAGATCCGAGGAAAACCAATTGAAATCCTATGTCGTGCCGAGAACGCAAAGCGGAGAATTGAAAGAGAGAAGCTTGAGGCAAATTTAGACTCGATTGCGATGAGAAAGGGAATCGAAGTGAACCCGTACAAATGACGAGGGAAAGATTGAAACTGAGGAATTCAGTGGAACGTGAAAATGCTTTGAAAAGTGGAGTCCCACTCTGCTTATGACTTATTGCAAATAACGTTTTGTTGTTTTTCTTGTACAAAGAACATTGTGCGTTCAAATATTATAGTAATAGTATTTTATTATTACTATTATTATTATTTACATTATTTTTAATCTTTGAAAAATTATTTGAATGATTTAGCCTTCTAATTAATTATTTTTCAGAATTGGTTAAATTAATATGTGGTTTCCAAAATTATTTGAATTTTTTTAATGATATGTCCAAATTAAAATTCTTTTATAATTGGGTCCTTTTCTTTTAATCTTTGTAATTAAGTTTTTGACAGGTTGAAATAGTAAAAATAAAAATATGGCAATTTCAAAAATTCTCACAACTCAATTAAAAGAATATTAAGATTGAAGACTTAATTTTAATATTTTTTTAAAATTTATAATCCTAATTAAAATTATCAGATGATTTAGAGACTTATAAATTAATTTAACACTTAATATTTCAATCTTCAGTTCTTTTTTTTTCAAAAATAAGATTAATGAGCTAGTTGGAAATTGAATAAAGAACAAACAAAGCAATGTTAGAAATATATTTTGTTAATATACTTTTAGTTGTTTGTTAAAACTTAATAAAAATTACAAAAAAAATTGGGGTTTTTATTTATTTTGTAAAGAGTTTCACTACTAATTTATACATTATAATAATTTTTATTATTAATAAAGAATATACTTAGAGTGTTTATCAATTATTACATACCAAACTCAAGGAATTAGTCAATGGCGTCTATAAGTAGTTAGAAGATGAATGCAAGAGTATTTATTTTTGGTTTCAGACGAAGATTTTCTCTAAACAAAAACAATTGATAATTCATATAGACTAAAATAGATTTGATAATTGATATAAAATTTAGAATCATTGAAATAATTCATCTCCAACTTTTCTCAATAATAGCTCATCTACCTCGAAAACTACTTGCTGACAAACATAATTGATTTTCTCAATGGCCTTTGATTTATGAGGCTTATTCATGTAAATTCTGGAACATATTGCCCAAGAGGGTCCCTGCAATCCAAGTCTACAAGGTTAGTTCCTAAAATATGAAAATGGAGTTCATGTTGAGAAATTCAAGTAACTTAAAAACAGCATCGCGGCTATTTCTGTTGTTAATATATACCCATGTTTGATTGATATTTTTCAGACTTTGGTTGATATCTTTAAGTTCTAAGTACATGTAGATATGATTCGGAGTTCTTTTATGCTCCACAAAACACCATGTTCACTTCGAACAAACATGAATTAAAGATTTCTCACATGGCTACCAGTGATCATTGCATGAACATAAGCCACCTGTAAAATGATGAAAACGGTTAGCATCTCTTACAACTATCAACCTGTTCGTGACCTTTGAGATCAATTTTACAACAATGTGGCAATCATCACACATCCTAAGGTTTTTTATTATTCTGATTGGCCCTGGTGGAGGTATTTTCATGAGGCCATATGCTAAGGCTAACTTCTCACTGTGATAGCTAAGATAACCTTCCTTTTGTTCCTCTTCCACATCATGCAGCACAGCACCAACATCAGGCACGTACCCCAGTGGCTTAATCATTGCCAGCAACTCTTGAACTTCCCCATAAATCTTAATAGACTCTGGATGATTGCTTCCTTCTGAAACAAAGACATGAGTTTCATTTCTTATATCTAGCCAACTCGCTCCAGGTTCCTTCTTAATGTTCCTTTCCCTCATCAGTTTTCTAATCTTCACTACTCCATCCCATTTTCTTGCTTTGGCACACATGTTTGATAGCAATGTATATGTTCCCACATCATGCGGGTCCATCTGTATCACAGTTTCCGCAATTTGTTTCCCTAAACTGTAGTTTAGATGAACATGGCAGGCGTTAAGCAAAGTGCGCCAGGCAACTACATCCCACTTGACCTGTGTTGTTGTCTTCATAAAGTTTGCAGCCTCATCAAGTTGACCAGCCCTACACAAAAGTGAAACCATGCACGTGTAATGTTCCAGTCCAGGCTCAATATCAAGTTCCTTCATTAGTTGATCAAAATAGTAGAAACCTTCTTGCACAAGAGCCAAATGAGCGCAAGCAGAAAGTACGCCAATGAACGTTACGTAGTTTGGACATTTTCCAGCAGACATCATGTCTTGAAACACTTGTAAAGCTTGTTTACCAAGTCCATGATGGGAATAACCACATATCATAGCATTCCATGTAATCATATCTTTAGATATCATGTTTGAGAACACACTGTATGAAGAATCAATATTGCCACTCTTGGAATACATATTTATTAAAGCATTTCCAACAATGAGATGATTCTTAAACCCTGATTTCACTGTTCGACCATGTAATACATCACCATATGTTAGTGCCACTAAATTTGCACAAGCATTTAGAAGAACTGCAAAAGTGAACTCATTCGGATGTGTATCCTCCAGCTCCATCCTCGTAAATAGATTCAAAGTTTCCTCAAAATATCCGTTTTGCAAATAAGCAGTCAACATGGCAGTCCATGCAACCACATTCCGATCTCGCAAGTCATCAAAATGTTTTCTTGCATTTAGAACTTCACAGCATTTCCCATACATGTCTAACAGTGTGCTAATAACAAAGACATCAAATACCAAACCAGTTTTCAGCAACTGGGCATGAATCTGCAAACCCAATTGCAAATCTCGAATCTGAGAACAAAAGCACAACACACTCACATAAGTAACACCATCCCAAGACACACATTCATCCACCATCTTGTTCAAAACTTTTGCAACTTCTGCTCTACACCCTGACTCCACAAGTGCACTCAAGATAGAATTATAAGAAAACACATCATTCCCAGGCCTTGTTTCCAAGATCTGCATGGCTGAATCGACATGAAAGCATCTTGAGTACATGAGAACAAGTGCATTCTTCACATATTGATGCAATAACAACCCGGACTTCAACAGATACCCATGACACTGCTTCCCCTCTTGGACTCTCCCACTGTCAGCACAAGAAGAAAGAACAATGGTAAATATATACTCATTGGGGGATGCACTGTCCAATGAAACCAGTTTCCTGAATAGCCCAAGTAGTTCCAAAACATCCCCCTTGTGCAAATACCCCACCATCAAAACACTCCAAGAAACCACGTTTCTCTGGGGCATTCTGTCAAACAACTTTCTGGCATACTCTAATTGACCACATTTGGAGTATAGATTGATCAGTGAGTTTACGTGAGTGATTTCATAGCCCTTTGAAGTTTGGTTGCGAATAACCAACTGGGCATGAACTTTTTTGCCCAACTTCAGGCTCTTTGAAGTGGCAAAGAATTTCAAAAGTTTAACAAGTTCTTTGAACTTGTTACTCAAGTTCATCTTTGCATTTCTAATGTAGCACCCCACTCCCTATCTGCTTCACCAGATATCAACCAAAGCAAAGTGCACAATCAAACCCCAATACTAGACATGAGCCCGCTGTTTAAGCCTCATTGAAAATAGCCTGTCTGTACAGCCTGCAAAAACACACACTTGTTACTTCTTTCTCACAGATTTCTCAGGTGGATGAGGTTGTGTTCTGTTGAAACATCCCTAAGCCACAATCCTAAAGGGTTGTAACATGAAACATACTAACCTTAAAAAAATTTCTAAAATCCTTGCCAATAGTGATGTCATGAGCTATAAGAAGCACATTGTTGATTTTGACTCGAAATGAAGTTGCTACATTATTAACCATCTCCTCTGACACAACTAGTTCAGGTAATGTTGGTGGATGTCTGCGTCAGAAGAAAAGGATACAAATGACATAGTTCTAATGTTGAAAACATAAAAAAAAACATGAAATACAAGGGATAGCAGTCATACTTATTTCTAAGGGCAGCATAGTTAGCATGCAGAAATAACAGTACGATCAAAATCAGTAAGACATCTGAATAAATTGTTAAAAATGGTAAATTGGTCCATGCAAATACGATCCAGGCAACTGTAGCAACAACAATGACACCCAGGCAAACATGCCACCTCTTCCACAATAGAACATCAGCAACTACAAAACAGACAAGGAAAGCAAACATCAGAAATAGTAGAACCATATTGAGCCCATAACAAAAAACTGCCGTAGTAAAAAATTATGCCCGTCAACAATCTATCTATGTTTGAAAAGATAGAGTTTAATTTATTAAAAGATATCATTAACTGGTTTGAATAGGACCTCCACATGTGAAAGAATTAAAAAAGTCAACTCAAACCAACTCTCAATCTCAAATCTAAACAATATTAGACCAGGTTGACTAACACAAGAAGAATATGCAGACAGAAAAAAAGAAAGGAACAACAAACTTGGATCACCATAAGTTTATGATGGAGATAATCAACATAAAAGCCAGATATATGATTTGAATGCATCAAATCGTTCTTCAAAACTCAGTCATCTCAGCCAAATCATAATCCAACAAGTCAGCAGAATCAAACAATACACATGCAATTGGAAAAAAAAGAAAGAAAAAAGCAATGAGTTTGAGTCGGTGGATAGTGCAAACATAGACAAAAACATTGAAGACTTAAATTACCAAGATCATAGTCACAACCGTCCGTGAAACTAATACAGTAACTAAACACAAGAATTATCCAATTTAGAAAATATATGATCAAAGGAAAACCTAAATAAAAAATCACATTTCCAATCAGCAAAAGTCACTCTAATAGCAGCAACAAATTTTAAATATTAAAAAATTAAAACGTCACCCAGTTATTACCACAAAGATCCGAGGAAAACCAATTGAAATCCGATGTCGTGCTGAGAACGCAAAGCGGAGAATTGAAAGAGAGAAGCTTGAGGCATATATAGACTCGATTGCGATGAGAAAGGGAATCGAAGTGAACCTAAAAATGATGAGGGAAAGATTGAAACAGAGGAATTCAATAGAACATGAAAATGCTTCGAAAAGTGGAGTCCCACTCTTCCTATGCTTATGACTTATTGTGTCGCAACTGGGGGGCCACAACATGGCGACGAAAAAAATTTAAATTAAAAAAAAATGCATATGGAGTCACCACCATAATTTATTAGGGAAAACTACGGAAAAACCTAAAAATGGTTTCGAAACCAAATATGGGTTCAGGAGTCGATTACACGTAAGGAAGGTGTTAGCACCCTACAACGTCTTTACCCTCGGTTGAAACTGCAAAGTAAGGATGTCATTTAAAAAGATTTGTTTCCCCTAAAAGCCAAGGGAAAAAAAGAGAACTAAGCAAAAAAAAAAAATATATATATAAATGGTTTTTTGGGCCCGACAAGGATAAATCCTTGCTCTTACATGTTCTCATTCAAAATGAGAAATCAAGGTTACGCGAATGACTGAACATGTACCTCAAAGTTTTTTTTGGAAAAGGAGAAGACATGACGGCGTGAGCGGCCATACTCATACCTCAAAGTTTATTTTAGAAAATGAGAGGACATAACAACGTGAGCGGCTATAGCCGTATCTCAAATTTATTTAGAAAGGAGAGGAAATGACATCACTAGCAACCATACCAGTACCTCAAAGTTTATTCAGAAAGGATAGGATATGACAATGCGAACGGTCATACCCGTGCCTCAAAGTTTATTTAGAAAAGACATGACGATGCGAGTGACCGTATCCGTACCTCAAAGTTTATTTTGGAAAAAGAGAGAACATAATAACGCCAAAGATCATACCCGTACCTCAAAGTTTATAATGAAAGGAGATGATATGATGACGCAAACGGTTATACCCGTACCTCAGTTTATTTTGGAAAAGGAGAGGACATGACAACGTGAGAGGCCATACCCATACTTCCAAGTTTTTTTGGAAAAGGACCCAACATGACAACACGAACGATCGTACCTGTACCTCAAAGTTTATTAAAGAAAACGAGAGGACATGATAATCCAGCAGGCCGTACCCATTCCGCAAAAGTTTATTTTGGAAAAGAAGGGGATGTGACGACGCAAACGGCCGTTTATTTTGGAAAAGAAGTGGAAAAGAAGAGGACGTACCCATACTCAAAGTTTATTTTGGATTTATTTTGGAAAAGGAGAGGACGTGACAACGCGAGCAGCCATACCCATACATCAAAATTTATTTTGGAAAAAAAAGAGAACGTGACGATAACACGACGTTGCGAGCAGTAATACCTGTATCTCAAAATTTATTAAAACAGATAACGGATGGCCTCAATGTATCATTAACCTATATGGCATAAGGCTGAAAGCCACTAGATGGGAAGACAGGGCGACAACACAAGATCGGGAGGTGGGGCCGACAAGTGTAAACGCTTATCACAGGCGTTTAAAATATGTAACACCACTCGACCTCGACCTGATTAAGCAACCAAAAAAAACCCAAATAGCACAGCCCTCTAATATTAGAAATAGTAGAGTCCGATTTAACTTGCACAAACAACACAGCACAATTTGACCCAGCAACCACACAGTCCAACCAAATCCATAATAGCATAATCCAACCCAACAATACAGTCCAATTTTAATAATAACTTACCACCATCCGGTGCAATCAACCGGATCCCAAAAGAAGACCATTAACATGATTAGAATGCACAAACCCAAATGCTCCTTTCAATCATCACAACCTAATTATTCAACAACACTGCGGTCCAAACTAAGACAAAACCCTACGACCTAAACGACAAAAATGCTTCACTCAAAATGGAAACAACAGAAAAAAACCCGGCACGCAAAGATAACAAAACCAATCATATAACATAAAAGTGACAACCACCACATAGTATCAAACATAACTTCAGTTTTGGACAACCAACAGGGCTCGGACAGCACCACACCAGGCCAGTGGAACCAGGAGAGTCAGACAGAAGATTGCATAACCAAACCAACAAAACAACGGATTCATCCACACAAACACAACACATAAACCATCATAAACAGAATTGAATCAGCCAATAAAAAAGGGGGAATCGAAGCGGACCGAGCATGATGGGTTCGCGAGGTGAAAGCTTAAGGGGATGGGGCGCAACGGCTATGCAATTAGGGCAGTCATGGTGCGGCGGAGGTGAGTACTCACGGTCGCGCGATTACCTGGACCCGCGGGAGCATGAATTCGCTACAGTGAGGGAGCAAACGGCGGAGGCTGCAGGGGATTTGGGCTCGCGGTTGCCAGGGGTGCTTGTCACGATGGCCTCTGGAGGTGCGGGGAGGAGGCTTGCAGCGGCGGCGCGACGAGGTGACGAGGCGCGGTAAGGGTGACGTGGTGGATATGGGTTTGCCGCGGAGGTTTTTGCAGAGGAGATGTAGGAGGAGGTGGCGGCTGTAGAAAACGGCGGGGAGTGGTGGTCGATGGTTGAGGCGAATGGTTTGGGTGCTGGGCAAGAACGGGGTGCCAATCGAGGACGATGAGGCGTGGAGGAGACAATGAAATTGAGTGTGAGTTTGGGGCACTGCAGTGGCTAGGAATGTGGGCAAAGCGTGGAGAAGGCTAAGTCTGGTAGCGGGCGACGGGAATGGTGGTTTCAAGAAGAGAATGCTATGACGGTGATTGGGAGCTAAAGGTTCAAGGTGTTGTGTGATGAGAGTGAGGAGTGTTAGATGGATGAGGGAATGGGAGTGAAATCAGAGATGGGAAGATGAAGGTGTCCCCCCGAGTGAGGGAGAAGCTATGATTATGCCCTCTTCATTATTCATTCTAGGTTAAAAAGGCATCCATGGGTTGGGCTTCTTTCTTTTTTTTTTAATATGTTTTTTCCTTTTTTTTTCACTTTTTTTTTTTAAAAAAAGTAAAATATAAAGAAAAATGAAACTTTTATTTTTTATTTTTTTAATCCTATTTTTTCGATTTTTTTTTTAATATTTTAAAACAAATGCTACTAATTATTATTATTGTATTTTTTTATATCTACCGTATGAAATTGGGTGGTCACAGACTCACAGCTGAACTCGTTACTTAACTTTTATTAAATGATAGTTCTAAATTTGAAAACAATAACAAAAACATAAAATACAAGGGATAGCAGACATACGTATTTCTAAGGCAGCATGGGTAGCATGCAGAAACAAATTGTTAAAAATGGTAAATTGGTCCCTTCAATTACGGATCGAATTTTTTATTAATAATCTAAATTTACGTGAATAATATCTATTAATAAATTTGTATCAATAATTTAAATTTATTGACGAATTCATACCGATCGCTAAATTTTGCTTGATAATATTTTTGTTGGGAGAATCATTAGTTGATATCAGATATCATTTTTCTAGTTCATTTATTCATGATGTCCATGATGATCCTGTCTCTCTTTTTCTTTTCCATTTGGACTATGTCTTTTACTTCTTTCTCACAGATTTCTCAGGTGGATGAGATTGTCTTCTGAGTAAACATTTTTCATTAGAATTTAATATTTCATCCAAAACCATGTCAGTCCTGCATCCTGTGAACAAAGAAGCACCAGTGCTATTCAGAAGCTGAGTTAAATAAATCATATATAAATGTATTATTTTGTCTGTAAGCATTTCTAGGAATATAAAATAAAGTTAAGTTTCTTTCATAAATGAAGTTAAATTTGAGGCTGCAACACCAATTATAAGTTGTTTTGCTCATTATTTTCTGTCCACAAATTGTTATTCGTGCATAAGTCAACCCATCCCTCTATTTCATCACACCCAAGAAGATCATGGAAGAAATGGATAAGAAGAAGATGGCTAGAAGAGCACACTGTGTGGTCCTGGCATATCCACTTCAAGGCCACATAAATCCCATGCTTCAGTTCTCCAAACTGTTGGAACATCAAGGGGTGAGAGTAACACTTGTCACAACCCGTTTCTACTACAACAACTTGAAAAGAATCCCTCCTTCTATTGCACTTGAAACCATATCCGATGGTTTTGACCAAGGAGGACCAACACATGATGCTGAGGGGCACAAGGCCTACATAGTTCGCTCTCGTGAAGTCGGGTCAGCATCTTTGGCTGAGCTTCTTGAGAAACTTGGTAGATCAAAAGATGACCATGTTGGTTGTGTTGTCTATGATGCATTCTTCCCTTGGGCACAAGATGTTGCCAAGAGATTTGGGATAGTTGGAGCCGTTTTTCTCACTCAAAATATGACTGTGAACAGCATATATTATCATGTTCACTTGGGAAAGCTACGAGTTCCCCTCACAGAAATTGAGTTTTCCCTTCCTGCTATGCCCAAACTTCAGCTTCAGGACATGCCCTCTTTTCTCCTGACATATGTAGAACATCCATATTATCTTGATTTCTTTGTGAATCAATTCTCCAATATTGACAAAGCTGATTGGGTTCTGTGCAACACATTCTATGAGCTTGACAAAGAGGTAACACATGATATACATATTTGATTGCATTTCTGGTGATAAAATTAGCTAGTTAACACCCAATTTATGTGTTGAGGTAAAAAAGAAATCTAACCTTTTTAATATGTAATTGATTAGAAGTGGAAAATAGTTTTACATTCTTATCAAATATTCCAATAACACCCACTTATATGACTCGTATGTAATTTTTTTAACTTCAAAATCTGATTCATTGTAATGGTTGGCGAATGGAAACTGACTTTAGGTAGCAGATTGGATCACTAAGATTTGGCCAAAATTTAGGAACATTGGACCAAACATACCATCTATGTTCTTGGACAAGCACTACAAGGATGACCAAGATTATGGTGTTGAACAATTTGAAGATGAAGAATGCTTAGAATGGCTTGAAGGTAAGCCAAAAGAGTCTGTTGTTTATGTATCATTTGGTAGTCTAGCTGAGCTTGGTGGAGAGCAAATGGAGGAAGTAGCTTATGGTCTGAAGGAGTGTTCCAGGTACTTCTTGTGGGTGGTGAGAGCCTCTGAAGAGACAAAGCTCCCCAAGGATTTTGAAAAGAAATCAGAGAAGGGTTTGGTAGTGACATGGTGCTCCCAATTAAGAGTTTTAGCTCATGAGGCTATAGGATGCTTTGTGACACATTGTGGTTGGAACTCCACATTAGAAACTTTGTGCTTAGGAGTCCCAACAATAGCAATACCTCATTGGTCTGATCAAACCACAAACGCAAAGCTTATGGCAGATGTTTGGAAAATTGGAATTAGAGCTCCTGTTGATGAGAATAAGATTGTGCAACGAGAAACACTAAAGCATTGTATAAGGGAAGTTATGGAGAATGAAGAAGGCAAAGTCCTAAAGAATAATGTCATTCGGTGGAAGACTTTGGCTTTAAGGGCTGTTGCTGAAGGTGGAAACTCTTACAAAAATATTGTACAATTTGCAGAGAGTTTTCTTCAATAGCAAGATTCCTTTCATAAATTTCAAATAACCATGCAAGTAATTCTTACTTTATATTTTTGAATAAAATTATGAAGCTGAATGTACCACTGTTTTACCTCTATAATGTAATTACAGTAAATATAATAATGTATATATATACATATATATATATATATGGTTATATAATAATTAAATATTTTTTCTCCAAATTAATTGATATTTAATAACTTTATTGTAGTGTAAGTGATTATTATCTTCTTCAAAAAGAAAAAAACACAATTTATCTTAGATATTTAAGACAATACTCTTAAAAAGATTATTAAACGAACTTAATTTTAAAAAATATCTTATAGAATAAGATTAATATCCACTTAATAATTTAGTATATGTGAGATTTTAAATACATTAACTTGAATTATCATCCTATTCATAATAACCCACCGAGCAACATAAGAAAAATAAATAATATATTTCAAGTCAAAGTCTTGCAAGTAATAAACAAGTCACCAATTCAGTGAAAATCTTTTAAAAACTCAATAAAAATAATCACAATAATTACAAAAAGTAAGCGATAAAATTTAAGATTTAGGAAAGTAATATTTATACCTATCTTTAAAATTGATCAATAATATTTAATATAAAATTAATCACTAATTAAATTATTAAATCAGTACCTAAAAAAATCCTTAAACTATTATAAAAAGTTGGTTGTTTTCTAAATTAATTTGTAGTCTTATATATTTACCCATGGTTTAGTGCCTGTTAAAATTTGATCACTTATTTTTTTAGTGACTGATTTCTTTACTTTAGCAACTGAAATTTCAATGTATAAATAAAATGTCTTGTTGGAATACATTTGAATTGAAATATAGCCTAAACTATATTTGAAAACCTAATCTAGGGTGATATGGAGGAATATTAATGTGCTTATATAGAAATTAAAATTCTTATAAGAGAATATATGATATTAGACAAACTCTAACTTGGATACAAATTCTGTGATAATTATAATTTATTCGTCTTGGCATTTCGAATTTCTTCACGTACTTTGTAGAGAATGACATTTTACAAGTGAGTTTACAAAAAGATTGTGTGCCTTCTTTAATGTCAAGAATGATATTTTATTTAAGACATAAGCATTTGGGTAAGTATTTATGATAAGCACTTATTCAAGATGTATCAGTGAAATTTACTAATTGCATACAATGTAAACACTTGTCGTCACAAATCAAAAGTTCAACAGAAAGTGTTACAAGGAAGCAGAGAGTGGTATTAATGTGAGAGGAAAGAAAAGAAAAGGATTGAGGTATTATTTTTCAAGTTAAAAATGCTGAAGAAGGTGCATCTCACTTGTAAACATATTTTATTGTAAAGAAAGATACCATTTCATTTAGTTTCAACCAACAAGGCTGCAACAGCAATTCAAAAAAAGATACAGGAAATAAGCATAAAAGAAAACTTATCCTACACAGAATCGGCTCCTCCCTCTTTGGCAATGCTTTCTTCATTCAGCAATGTCACTGGAGAATTTGCTGCTGAGTTTTCAGCTGTTATAGCACCAGTACCATCACCATCTTGGTTGCTAAAGAGGGAAGAAAAGGAAAACGGATTGGAAGTGGAGCTTGCTTTCTGAAGACCCTTTATGGCTCTCATAGCAGCAAGAGTGCTACGGTATATGTACATGGTTTCCTCCCCAAGAGTTGAGGATGGTTCAGGTAAGGCATTGGGGGCGCTATCTACTGGTGGTCTAGCCGGATTTTCTGGAGGGGGAATAGATTGGATTACTTCTGCTTGAAGGGGAAACAGCAGTTCTAGATTTTCCTCACATTCACGAACTAATCTTGTGAGGGACTCGGTGGTGAAAAATGGTTGACGAAGAACAAATTGTGTAAAAGGAAGACGCAACAACCCTCCAGTTCTTTTGTCATACTTCTTTAAAATTTTAATTAGTCCTGTAGAAGTGGTGATAGGTTAATGTCTTCAGAATGAACAATAACTGAAACCCCATACAATGGCATGGCAAGAAACCTTACAGAAATAGCATTTCTACATTAAATTGGAGACTTCACCAGCCACATTTAGATAGAAAGATAGATATTAGATTAATTAGATGATGTACCTGCAAAGTTTAAGGAACTGTAGTTCTTGAGGAGTACCATCTCTCCATGGATAGTAACCAAGTCCCTCCTGATGTCCATCATTTCTTCACTGAATTCACAGTCAGATGTGTACATTTCTCTCTGGCTGCTTTTATCTTTAAGACGCTCTAGTCTCTCTTTCAGCTCCTGTTAAAGAGTTTCAGGCAAAAATCAGGGCAGAAACAGAGCACATTTTTTTCAATAACTGGTATTATAATGGAGATGTTCTCTAGGTATTCAGGGATATCTTTTAAATTTATCTGCTATCCAGGCACCAGTTGGATTCAGTACACAATTCATGAAGGAAATATCAATAATTAATCCCCTATAGTGTGAAAAACAAACGTTAGATTAGCTTTAGCCACTGTAGAATATCATCAACATAATTATATGTTCACTGAGCTGTGCCATGGTAGATTCCATGTCGTCTCACACTAAAACTAGGATAAATTTTGCACTAGATGAGAAGCTTCATGCGGCTTGCAGGAAGAACATAGAGGAATCTAGTATTAATAACGTTATAACTTATGAGTAAATTTACATATGCTATGTATTAGAAGAATAAATATCTATTTGTCGCATATAAATTCCTAATAGTTACTTATGCCATTTTATTTTTTGTCATAATGATCCTAATAGTTACTTATGCCATTTTATTTTTTGTCATAATGATCGAAACTCAGGGAAACAAATTGTTTGAAGAAAATCAGTCCAGTTTGTATGGCCTCATAGGAGATACTGCAACATAAGAAACATTGCAGAGCAAACAGAGAGAATGAATCTCAATTCTAAGCCATCCATGATAAAACATACGTACCATTTTCCAACATAATAATTTAATCACCAAGTGTCTTATTATGAATGTTGCACCATATGCAATTGTGCAAACCAAAGAATCCTAATAACATTACTTGATGTAGTTTGAACTGTGGACTCTGGGTCTCATATAGATACATGTTATCTAAATCTTTAGATTAAGATAAATTTATTACAAATGAAAAATCCCTTTTCAACGGGCAACTTGAGGTTATTCGATTGGCAACAGCCTACACTATTTATAAGTTAGTAAATTCCGGTTCTTAATTCACTTTTCATGATTGTTTATGAAAGTTCTCAGTGCCACAAGAGTGTTCCTATAAGTCCTAGCTGCAATACCATGACAATTTCATCTGCTACTGTCAGCAAGTTGAATTAAATTCAGATCTAACAGGCTCAATTTATTGATTCAGCAACTGGATATAGGAACATATTGGATGGCCAGGATAAAATCTATGACATGTCAGACTATTGTTTAGAACGATTATAAACAGATATTTCAACTAAAAACTATTGTTCAAATTTGTATTACACCAAGATTAAATATCACACTAGATTTTTATATATTTCTAAATAAACTTGAAGAACCCACATGGTATCAGACATCTCTAGGCATGCTTCAGAGCAGAACCCAACCTTCAATGTTTAGTAAAACCTTCATTGTATCTGCATAAAATTGAACAAGCCAAGACCTTCCCAAATACCCAATTGTGCAAACACAATTTCCTAATCATCAATTTCCCATTTCGTTTGATCAAGCCCAGAGCCTTTTCAAATACCCAATTGTGCAAACACAGTTTCAAGGTTTTAAAAAAGTTCGTAATCGTGATTTCACCACAAAATCAAAGCTTTATCCTTTTCAACAACTACAACACGGGCTACATTTATATGCAATTTTAAACCTTTGCAATTTACTAATCATCGTTTTTAGCATAAACTAATAAGAATGAGAAAAAGAAAGGGGGTGCAAAGGAAAAAAAAAAATAAAGTGGGGAAGAACCTGGAAGCGGATAACGAACTCTTCCTCTTTGTCCACATAAAAATCATTGAACTTTTCAAGCTCTTCATTGAGAATCCTAACGAACCAAGCCTGCAAGAGTTGTGGGGAAGAGGGTTGTTGGAGAAGGTGAAGAGGGAGGTTGATGGGAGGGGTGGTGCGGGTGGTAGTGGTTGAAGGAAGGTGGTGTTTGAGGAGTTTCTTCAATGGTTTGTAGCAGAGGAACTTGTCCCTCCACTCTGGGATGGTTTCTTCCAAATGGGTCTTGAACTCTTTCCCAAATTTCATTTCTGGTGACTGTTAGTGACACCTGAAAATTCCACAACTGGATTTGAGTTTGAGTTTGAGTTTGTATATTTATTTGCCTGCTTTGCAAAGATGAAAATAAGATGGTCTTATAGAATATTCTTACTCATTCTTATTTGTTTCTTTATTTTTTTAATGTCTTATATTAAATAAATTATTTTTTTATCTTTTCAATTTACAATTAATATATGTTTAGTTTTATAATTTAAAAATTCTTATATTTTGGTGAAATTAAAAATACTCATTTCAATCCCTCTCCAAATATTATTACCAAACTCTTGATTTAGATAGTATGACCAAAATAATTTATTTAAAAAAAATGGAAAATTGGTTGTTTCTATTTCAAAATAAAAGACAAAGTGATGTTTTGAAAATATAGAGTGAACAAAATTATATTATATTGTAGTCTAAACTCATGATCATGTGTTCATAAACTTTAAAAATAAATATGTTTTTCTATTGATGAAGAAGAAGACATTTTTTGTCCATGTTTTTGTTCTCATGGTGTTCGTTTGTGGTTGGCAATTTCTGTTTGGAAGTACATTTTGATTTCGACACTTTTGGCTTCATACACTTGTCCATTCCATTTTCATACCCTTGGAATAACTTGCCATTTTAGGGTTTTTTCTATATACATTCAATCTTGTTTTGCCCTTTGTCAACTTCTACAAGACCACATGATACAGTTTTTTTTTTTATTCATGGTATATTCTTACACCCAAAAATAAAATAATATGTAATAACTTTGACTAAAAAAATTATCCCCTAGTATATTACTCTTTTCATTAATCTATATATATATTTTATTTGTTAAAAGAAAAACACATGTTTATTTCATTAGTTTTTGTTTTAAGATCTTCAAAATTTAAGGAGTTATTGATTTAGTTTTTTTTTCTTGTTTTTTAAAAATAATTTTAGAGATTAATTTTAAAAAGACTATTCTTAAAAATAAATTGGAAAAAATTTGTTTGATAATTTTATTTTTAAAAATTATTTTAAAAGAAAGAGTGTAATATAAATAATCATAAATAATCGTAACGAATGATAAAAAATAATTATGATAATAATGAAAATAAATAATTTAATATAATTAGTAGGTAACAGTCAACTAGTTAAGACAGATAGAAATACAATCAATTACATGAAGATTCATTTATTGGGCTTAGGTCCATTGGTTTCTGTTGTTTGAGCTATTTGTAAACATGAGATTTTAGAGATTTACTTTTTGTACTCTGAAATTTGTTTTAGTACCTACCATGCATTATATTAAGGAATATTATTGTAATTTGTTCGAAAATTTATGTTGATACTAACACAACCTTAATTTATTGTTATATTTTATGGATAGTTAGGGATATTGTGTTTAGCGATAGTAGTGGCTCGTGAAATTGGAATTCTCTCATATTTAAAAAAATTGAAATATTTTTAATTTTTTTTTTAAGTTAAATGAATTTATAAACTATATGATAGCATAATAATTTATATTTTATATTTTCATAAAAACAATTCTCGAATACCTTTTTGTTTTAAATGAAGTCATAATTAGTTATTGCAAAAATATTTATATGTCCTGTTTTGAACTATCTTATATTTAATTTGCTAAAAATAAGGTAGTATAAACTCATCTCTTATAGTTAAAATAAGCTATTAACTCCAACAAAGTATTTTCTTAAGAAAATCTACGTATGAATAATTTTTTAATTTTTATTTATTAATTAATATTTTTATTAAATAAAATAAAAATTTATTACATTTATACATTAAAATACTTGATTATAATTAATAATTTTTTTAATTGATTAATATTTATATTTTAAATTAAAATATTATAATATATTTATATTTTTTTATAATATAAATAAAAATATAATTTTTTATTTTAATTTTTACATATAAATATTATTTTAAAATAAAATAATAAATTAAAATCCATCATATTCCACTCCCCACATATTATATATAAATTAAGTGATCTAAGAGAGTACACGTTTTATCATCTAATCATAATATCTAAAAAGTGTATATCATAAGAAAACACTTTGAAACTAAAGAAATGCAACAAAATATTACGAGGAGTCTTTCGATGATGTTAAGTGGTAAAAAGTTGATATAATTATACTTTGAATTATTATGAAACCACTTAACTGATATTAATTCTAATCTATTTTTCTTCTAATATAGGATGAATTCAAGAATACCTTGATACAATAGTAAGGAGCATAATTGACAGCAGAATTGGAGTAAAACAGGAAGAAGATTTTCAGCATAGAAGTCGCTCAAGCGGGATGGATTCTCGCTTGAGCGAATGTTAATTATTCTTCTCTGGAATTCACTCGCTCAAGCGAGCCAAAATTCGCTCAAGCGAATATCAGTTATTCTTCTCTGGAAGTCATTCGCTCAAGCGCAGGAAAATTCGTTTGAGCGAATGTTAGTTATTCTTCTCTGGAATTCACTCACTCAAGCGATGTTGAATAATTGGCAAGCGTACCAAAATTATCAATCGCAGTATAGTATTTCGATTAAATAAAAGTCGATCCCACGAGGAACGGTTTCAATGGAAATTCCCAATTATATGCTTACTAAGTATATTAAAACAGAATGAGTTTGCATAAAGAGTTGAATTGAAATTAAATGACAAAGAACTGTAAATTATTGAGAAAATATCAATTAAATACTTAAGATTGGTTTCCTTCCTTATCCATCTTTTGTAATGGTTATGTCAATTAAGAACGTCAATTAACCTAACAATGTTGATGTCACCTACTCAAATCATCCATGTTGATTTCTCACACATGAAATTCATAAGAAAACTTAATAAATGTTGATTCCTCACACAATTAAGAGATTTTCCAGAATTAGGGTTAGGGTGTTAAGCAATTGATACATTCATTCCATTCCTGACAATTAACGTAACAAATATTCTTACCGTGATCTAGGTTCAAGATATATTTTCCAATCATACCCCAAACATCAAGAATAAATCATTCCAAAGCATAAAGGATAAGAATAACAACATCAAAGCATAGATTAATATCTCAAATTATCACCATGATACAAAAGAGTTCAAAGGAAGTGCACCCAATCCCAAGAGAATAAAGTTAGTCACTCATGTTGACCATTACAATGCTCTAAATGTGGAAGAAGTGAAGAATTGATGAAGATTGGACGAAACCCTAGCAGTAGTCACGCCTCTTCTCCTCCAAAACCGTCTCCCTTTCTCAAAACACATCTTATCTTTTTATAAGAGAATTTGGGTTGGGCCTCGCATCATTCATTCGCTTAAGCGTTCTTCTTTCTTTCAATTTTTCTCTAATTATGCTGACAATTATGCTTCTTACTCTTGTATTAAGGTATTCTCGAATTCATCCTATATTAGGAGAAAAATAGATTAGAATTAACATAAGTTATATGGTTTCATAACAATTTAAGGCATAATTATATCAACTTTTTACCACTTAACAACTCCCCCCAACCTAGAATCTTGTTTGTCCCAAGCAAAGTAATTTTTCCAAAACAAAACCATCGCCTATTATCACTTTCTCTTCCAAAACCACAACATAAAAATTTTCAAAGGTGATGCTCACAATTCCAAATGAAAATAGAACATATAAGCATTCAAGTTATAGAAACCAACAAAGAATAATTAGTCCTCAACTATCCTGAGAGAAGCATGATCTCTCAAAAAGAGTTATATATACTCATCTTTAATTCTCACAGGTAAGTGTTTATCTCATTTAATCACTTCATTTAGATAATCCAATATTGATAATCATCTTCAAACAATCAACATTTGTTAAGCAAGACTTAAATCAAAAGGTCTTTTGAGGCTTGTAATGGGGTTGGGCTAAGAAAGAATTATTAGTTTTTCTGGGATAAACAAAAATATTTGAGAAATTCAAATCATATGGATGATTCTTAATTAACAATTCCTCAAGTCAGGTTTCAAACTTCATGTTTTTGTCCCTAACACAATGATAGTGAGTTAATGATCTCACAAGTTATTATTCCCCCCCTTTTGACTTTTTTTTTCATGATTTTGCATGTATCCTTTTTGGCTTTGCCATAATTTTTAAGCTTTGTTTTTTCTTTTCCTTTACACCTCCTTTTTTTTTTAATAACACCCTAATAATACCTGTAGGACAACAAGCAATACCCAACAATAGGAAAAATAGTGACATTCATACTCATTTTCTTTCTCAAATATAGGAAGATAGATAAATAGTGTTTAGGCTTAAGGGTTCTATTTAAGAAACAATATTATTTTTGGCTCAGAATGGGTTCAAATGGATGTCCTAAAATTAATGCAGGGTTGGCTATTTGACTCTGGTTTAAATCTACTACAAAGAAAAAATGTATTTATCATTTTCAAGTCTTGCCAACATGTAATCACATCAAAGAATCAACCAATATCAGTTATCAATCACAAAGTGTTGACACTCAATTTATCTGTTTTTGGTACTCTACTCACCTGGGTTTTAGCTAGCTTCTCCAATTCAGTTAATTCCTAATTCTCCTCATCAATTCCTTTTCACTATCATACTCATCATCCAAAAATCACTTGTTATTGGAAACAATAAAAATGATTTTTTACGTTCTAGATTTGAATTAGACAATAAACAATAATCTCATATATGACTCTAAAACAAATTATGAGACAGCAAGAGAATTCAAAATTTAAAATAAAGCAATTTAAAACATTAAATTAAAAACAAAAGAATTAAAAACATTAAAAACAAAGTAAGTTTCCTCCCTCATTTTCTTCACTTGTCATCTACTCCTTATCTTGTGCCTCAGCCTCAACTGCAGACTTTCTCACTCCCTCCGGAAAAGTTGGACTGTCCCTAGGCCATTGAAGTAAGACTTCAAAGTCTTGAGGAGAAGTGCACTGTGTACCTGGAGCAATCTTGCAAAGAAAGAGCCTAAGGAAGAAAAATGCACAAAAAACTTAAACTGAAAAAAAAAATTCAAAACATTGGGTTGCC